CATCACAGGAATTGATGATGACAACCTTGCAGTCTTCAGGTATTTTTAAGAGTACTAACTGTTCAAACAGTAACTTCATATAGGAATATACTGGTCCCAGCAGACAGTTCAGATGCCCTCCTAAAGCACAGCACAAGGAATTTCTTGTGTAAAGCTGAACATCCATTCACACAGGTGTATATTGATCAGTTATGGAAACAAAAGTTGTCCCTGTACACACGTACAAGGGAAACAGTACAGAGAAACATTTGACTGACAGACACTCCAGAGCACAAGGCGTAGGGAGAGGTCTCCCCTCCCAAAAAGATTCAATCTCAGAGTTCCATGAGGTAGAAAAATCTTAGGAAAAAATGAAACTGTGTCATTTCCACCAAGACAACTTTACACCTTTGGTTTTGCATATTGAAATACTAAATCCTACAATTCAAAGAGACTAGAGCCTCCTGTCAAGAAACCTGACACAGAATAGAAAATATAAGCAACTTCAAAACACTTTTGCCTCTCCATTTGCACTAACTTGCTGTGCCTTTGTTTGGTTACAGTACTTCAGCTTACCTGATTTAAGCAAAATTGTGAATAAAAATACATTCTTCTTCCAAAAAGTATTAATGAGCTAGAAGGTGATAATTCATCTGAATGGAATATTGTTGTTACTAATTTTCCAATCTACAAGCAAGAGGAAGACTTAAGGCTCCAGGCTGCAGACTCAGTACCATGCAAATTTGGAAGAGAAATCGCAGTTGCTGGAGCACTTCAGATGTAAGAATAAAACAAAGCAGTTTCATCATGAAGAAGTAAGTGATTAATCTTGAGCAGAAATTATAAGTGTTCCTTAGAGTAAACAGTCCTTTAGTTTGTTGAAGGATTCTGACTCCCGCATGTAGAAATAGATGAACAGAAGAGAAAACAATTTTGATTTAAGTTTTACAAGAGAATAAAGATGATTGCCCTAGAGGCTCAAAACCAGAAATGTGCCATTCATATTTTAAATTCTATGAAACTTTTGTTCTTTGTCTTCTCATTTCTATTATGACAAGAAAACTAAGTATAACCACAGTTTAAGTATAGCTGATGCTCCAAGTGTACAGATCTCAAGTGAGATGGTCACCTCTGCTCCTCAAATATTTTACCTCATAGTATGCAAGTTGTCCTGCTGCAGTTTGATCACAAATTGTCAGTGGACCCAAGATCAGAATTTAGAACTCATTTTCCAGAAGTAATCTGGGAAACATTAAACAGTGAAGTGAGACATAACAGAAAGCACCATGTATCCATCACTATTTAGCTTCCTGAGGATGCATGCCATTCGAACATTCCATAAGCAAAGAAAATGCAGTATTGCTTCTCCTTTCCAGTCCTCGAATGCTGAATTACAATACTCCCAGGAGAGCTCCAGGCCTTCAGTTCAGTCAGCTCACAGCTAACTAGCTGCATGCTGCCAGAGACACCACGAACTTCATAGCAAAAAAGCATATTTTGCTTCCAAACCCAGCTCAACCGTATTTCCTCAAATCCCAAGGTCTGTCCAGTATTGCGTGGGTGGCAGCAACATGAGATGGTCCAGTCTGCTAAGGGAAAATGTGTTCTAAGGGCAAAAAAAGATTCACCATGACAGCTGCATTTATATAAATGAACAAAGTATTTTTTCTTCTAGTAATAATAAATTTGTTTAGATGACAGCAAGGCGTCCCACAGGCAGAATTACTTCATTCTTTTCAAAAGGATTTTCAAAGTGTTCCAATGATGCTGAAATCTCAAATTGGGAAAAAGTAATTTTGGCTGTGAGGTCATGTTCTTCTCTCTCACTTGAAAGCACACTACCAACAGACTACACTTCTGTAGGAATCACACTTTCTAATATGACTCGCAACTTACAGTTCTATGATAGTTTTTAACTATTCAACTGCATTAGAGTGGGCTTTTTGGGGATAGGTTCATATATATTTCAGTGTAATGTTACAATTCCACTTTGCCAATTCAACTATTTCAGAAAAGATTCTACTGAAATCCTCTCAGTATCCCCATTATTACCTAAACGGTTGCTCAGAGATTAGAAGGCTTCTGAAAATATTTAAAACAATGCCTTACAAAGAGAAAAGAGCAGTGATGTAGTCTATGTATCGACAAGCACGGAAAAACTAATGGACAGGGTTAACAAAGATGACTGAAGCAAAGTCCAAAAAATGCCAAACCCAACTTGATGTGTGAAAAGTAAAACTAACTTGTACCAATACCAATTCTTCCCTTCAAAAGACTGGGAACTAATAATGCAAGGTAAGTTATTTATCTTTGTTGATGTAAACACTTGAGGAAACAGAAAAACAAATTTCTAGAACTGACCTAATACTCTCAGCTATTATTTCGCTCTTTCTTCCCTAGTCCGACCATCACACTCCATGAGCAATCCTACAGTAAAACACAAGGTGACTGAAGATGACAACAGTGCTCTATTCACATAGCACAGCATGTTGCACATTGCCTTGTAAAAACCACATGTACTTCTCTCATGAGACAGGTAGCTTCAATATTAAAAAAGCAAACTGACTTGAAAAAACTGAAGTGTCATAAGAAACTATAATTCACAGAAAATACTGTTTTAACACTCAACTTTGCTGAGAAGGTAGCAACTCCATTCTGCAGTAGCTGATGTTTTTTTCAGAGCTGAATTTTTCAATGTGATGCACAGAAACAGCTAACTTAGAGTTAGCACAGTTGCATGCATGGTCAAAGACGGATCACTACATGAGAGTGCTAGATGCATATCTTCCTATTTAGATATCAATGAAAGCTGGAATTCATTCTGCTCAGTACTGTGAAAGGTTCTACTGACAATTTCAGCGAGCATAAGAGTAAGAGCTAAATCAGGATCAAGACAATGTATTCTGTACTTAAGGACTTCCCAGACAAAAGCAAAATCACTAATCACCAACCTATGGTTAGGAGCCAAGCAAGGAACTAGCTAGCTATTTCAGTTCTGCCAGCAGCAATGATGAATTTTTCTTTTTTTGCTTGATTTCTTCAGTCACTGAATGTCTGGAGTATGTAGAATCTGCTATAGGTTGTTGTTCTGGCATAAGTTATTTTCTTTCAGAGCCACTTCCCATCAAAAAGTTGAAGAGTGATTTGCTAAGCGTTCAAACCAACTGAAACAAATGGCAAAGATTACGGATATATTGCTATTTCTGTACAAAAGAAGGGGAAAACAACTGAACTTCAGGAAAACAACAAAATCAAGCCCTTCAGCCTTTTCTGGTCAAACAGTCTGACAACAGTCCACAATGGTATGTTTTCATAACTGAATTTTGCTTTAAACTTCAAGACTGATATATTTTCTGTCAATTCTCATCAGAGTAAAGTGTATTTTTATGTATATTCTCTGCTCATTTTTCTTCAGTTCTACATGCACCACAGAATAAACAGCATGGCATAACCTCTCAGTGTTATCTGCTAAAATAATTTCAAAATTTGTAAAACCAGTAAACAATATTATAACTTCTGACAGACACTATCCATTTGAATGCTCCAGAAGTACTCTTTAGTCTGAAAAGAAAAATGTTAGAAAAGGATCTGGTACAGTTGTATTACCAAAAATACAGATAAAATCACTATCAGTTCTTAAGAGTCAAGAAGCAGCATCAACTCACAGTGTGCCACAAGAACTACAGTTTTGTTATAAAAAACTGAGTATAGACTGAAACCCATTTTACACATACCTGAGAGTAACTTCTCCAAAGTGAAGCTCACCTGATTTCCACAGCAATACACAGTACTCATTTCTTGTTAACTATTAGTTTTCTTTTGTCAACAATTCTCCGTCACAATTCAAAGAGTACTTACTGAGCAACATTTTAGAAGCATATATGCTATGTAAAGTAAATGTATGCAGAAAATGTACATTTAATACCTTCTATTTTAAAAATGCTGCATTCAGGGAGCTCAATTTTCTTGTATTAAACATATTTGGGGCATAATACAAGTTCAGCTATTCCCCTTGTTTACTGAAGAACTTTTAATCATGCACCATGGAGAAGGCTGAGAAGCAGCCAATAAACCAAAACATTAGAATGGCAAACAAACCCATCTATTACAACCATGCTCTCCTTTAACAACCTAAACTATACCACCACACCAGAACAAGCTGATTTACCAACCTAGACGCAAAGTACAATGTAATCACACAACAGAGAAGGAAAATTCAGGACTTCATTTTCTTTCCTCAGAAAGATCAGGAGAAAAATTCAATTCAATATTAAAACAGCAATTATTTTCAAATTTAAACATCCTTCCTGCTATGACATCATAAATGCAAAGCATTTGCTTTGAAACCTGTGAGGACAAAAGAAAGTTTTCACCAGCAAACTCAATGCTCTGCAGAAGCATTTATGAAGAATCTGTACCACTTTTAGTAGTGTGGACTGTTATTCACTCATCTTTTTTTGCATCAAGCTTAACGTATTTATCAAAGGAAAAGAAGGGTATAACTTCTGGTCTTTGTCACTTCTTTTAATGATGTATCATTATGACTCAGTAGACTTACGAATAGAATTAAATACCCTGATAGGGATTAGTGTTGAATAAAAGACATAAGAAGACCAAATTTTCTAGGCTGTCCCTCAGAAAATTCTATAGTACCTGTTTTCATATAGAGCATTAAAGACAAGTTTTTCATACACTGCTACCTTGAACATTACAAAACCACCCAACAGAATTCATACTCACGTAGTAACGAAAATTTGACATAACTGAGAAACTAGGATCCAAACATAATGATATTCCTGCTTTCCAGGAACGTGAACTCCTAAAGGCCAGCAAGACCAGAGGTCTTAATGGATCTGTCTATGAGAAGAAGAGCAGGTGAAAAACCTAGAAGACAGGACACATTCCAGAATATGAGCACAGTATGTCTTCCAGGTAAGGATGGTTCTGAGCACTAACATGTGAACACAGACCACATTCAAAACGTCAAACAAAAACCATACTACATGGTCCACCAAGAACACTGAGTTTATAGTGAAATTTATTGTTCTGCTTCCTAATACAATAAGCTACAAGGTACATACAGTATAAAACGAGAACATCCACAGAGCAAAGGTGATAAACATTCTGTGATGGTACAGTGGAGGTAACATCTGTCTAATCCTTCCACTTTATCCCACAAGGAGCAGCTAAAACTACTGACCCTCCCCCTCCCTCCCCTCCAAAAATATTAAAAAGTAAACTTTCTCTCTCACTTAGGAATAGTGGGATTCAATGAGTTTTTTGAGGGCACTGCCAGTTATCTGCCAGTATCTCAAGAAAATTGCTGAAATTAAAGTAACAAAGAAAAACTGTGAAGGTGGGAGTGACATGACCCATGCAAGATGCTCATGACACCTTGGTTCACTTCTCCGCAGAGCAAATGGCCTGTAAAGAAAGGAAAAGTTTGTTATGTCATGTAAACCAGCAATTAACATGGTTAGAATTAAGATATAATAAGCAACATCTGAACTCAACAGGACTAATAGGCACACAGCTAAACTACTCTAAATGGAACCACAAGCTTCCTGTGATAAGGCTGGGAGATCTGAGAGCTGATAATCCTTCCCCCTTTATTGTCAGGTGCTGTACAGAAGGGTGCATGTCAACATAGGCACAGCTGACACCTACTATACCAAGTTTCAAATCAAATAACCTTGTCTGGGAGAATTCTAACAATGGGGTGAACTCAGCCTCAACTCTTGAAAAACAGCAAGGCTACAAACATTGATGGAACAATGGAAGATGAATATTTACCTTAAAGGCACAAAAATCCACTTAACCACTTTTTCATATATACTTGGTGCGGTTGAGGGCTCTCTCAGCAAGGTGACCACTTTCATCTGTTATCTTCTCCCAGTCAGTCTGTCCAACAACAAAACCGATGGCCCTTTTCCTGTCAGCATCTTTTTTTTCTTCTAGATCTGCCCATCGTACCTATGGAGAACATCCTATCAGTACAATAATCTTCCAAGAAATCCAGGTATGAATCTAGGCTTTCCACTGCAAGTAAGAATACAAGAATACTAATTTCTACTCATTTTCCTTAGAACAGGTAAGTATTATTTTTTTTCTGATAGGTAAAGGGGGAAATTATTTTTAACTGAATGGACCAGGTGTTCTACAGAGTAGACAAAAGGTATAGATGATAAGCTTTTTCCATTTCAGTGCTACAGCTCTGAGAGTTGAAGTGTAACTACTACAATAATTTCTCTGTTCAAAGCAACACTTTCTGCGGGAAGAATTATCCAAGACTGTTTTATTTACTGTTACTATTTATTATTATTTACTGTTTTATTTTTCTGGGAAATCTGTCTTTCAAATGCACAATGGAAACATCTAGAAGATGACTATGAAACTACAGAAAGACAGTGTTAAAGAGCAAGTCAGCAATGAATAAATGAATGAAGGACAGTTTTTCTTATCTATCTTCCATGATATATTTCTATTTAAAATTTTCCACTATTTCTTTACACTAAGTACCTTTTTCATACATAAGTTATTTCCCCATCTTACATCTCCTTATCTGCACTGCACCTCTTCGTGGCAACGCAGATCCCTTTAATTTATCCTGCTTAACATACACAGTGACACTGCCAAAACAAGACACCAGTGGGAGGGAGAGCAACAGGAAGGAGGGAGGGAGAGGTGCAATGAAGAAGGGCTCCAGGCTAGAAACTCAGCTGAAACACACTATTGCAGGACAATAAAAAACAGTAAGTGAAAAGCTCTTCTCTGCACACTGATTAGTCTCACTCAGGCCTGTGTGTTACTGGGAAATGTGGCCTTATCAATTATCCGCCAGCACCTCCCTATCCTCAGTCTACTTGGATTTCCCCTGACATTTCTGCTGATAAGCAATGTCAGTTTTCCTCCACCATCATCTCCTCTGCTAGTGCCTTAAGTACCTCCATTTCTCTCAGACATCAAGTACTATCAGTTTTCTATTTGACATTACAGAGCAAAACAATACCCAAACACTGACAGCTAATTCAGATTACTGCTAGTGGCAAAAGCTGGTCTTTCTATTTTGCAGAGAGGGAAAAAAAAAAACATTACCACCTCCTTCTATTACATCTTTCATCTCCCTCTATGATTTTCCCCTTTTTTCACAACAGAATTTAAACATGCAGCACTTGGTATTCAGACCGTGTCATGCATAGTTAATCTGTATTATCTACAATTCCTAGCTCTGTTATAACTAATATGTTTACCTCTGGAAGACCCTACTTGCAGGCATAATTTCTTACAGAATCTAATGGAACAGCAAAATGAAAAGGGAGTCAATGAAATTCCCATATTCACAGAAAATGAATGACTTGATATAAGCTCTCTTTCACAGAGACCATTAAAGGGTTATATACAGAGAGTAAGTCATTTGAAAATTTATTACCCTTTTCTTTCCAGGTTCAGAAGCACGTGTATCATAGTCATCTGGAAGCTGCAGATAATCTTCTATTCTGCTGGCAATTGCTTCCCAGTCACGCTTTCTCTTAGTGCCAGTCCGCAAACCATCCAGTTTGTCTGAGAACAAACACAGAGCCTCAGTGTTAAGGGAGATTATTTTTTCTATTATTCACACAAACAAGACGAGAGTGGAAAAGTTTTTAAAAGAACGAGCAGCAGAATTTGTACATCCAGCTTGTCTTGATAGGTGCAATGATGAGAGTTGAAATAAACTAAAGAAGACTCAACACAGTTTTCAAGTTTTATTGATCTTTCATGTTAACTGTGTGGCAATAACACCCAGTGTTGTTTTCTATATGAGGGAGAAAAGGTTTGCTCTTCCAGATCTACATGGAGTCTGCCCTTACAGGTACAACATAGCCAACAATAGCTGGGAACCACAGATCCATCTTTCTGTATTTGAACACAATACTAAAAGGTGTAGCATTTTTCCCAAATTTGGCGATCAATACTGTGTCAAACATTGCATACATGCAGTTTCAGGGAACAAGTGGCAATTATATAACTTAATGCATCAAAGACAAGTTTTTGAGATACTGTTTCTGCTAAACAAAAACGCTCCTTAGAAAGCCTGATCCTCCCCTTTCTTTTTCTCTCCCCATAAGGCAAACCACTTAAAAAGTCTTCCAGGACTGGGAGAAAAATATCTCAGAATCTTTTCTTTCATGGTGTAAGAGGTCAGTCATGAATATTTGAACAGTACATTTGTCCAACAGTCCTCATTTTCTTCTTTTTCTTATTGAACCGATACATGAGGAGAAATAATTCCGTTCCTAGGTTCTAAAATTTTGTTCCACTTTAGACACTTATTCTCAGTAAAGAAAACAACACCTTCTTGAAATTATGTGGCAAACTGTCTTTGGAAAGGAGATGAAACATTCATTGGAAGATTATGAACAACAAAGCATGAAAAGGAAAACCGGCTCTACAAGTCAAAGGAAATTCTGTTACTTCTGTCGAAGCAAACTACCAATTTATAAGTAAACAATTCAAGTATGTGTAGAAGGAACACTATTCTTGGCAATTACATTCATTAAATCATTACCAGTGATGTTAGAAATACTGTTTCAGAAGTCACTGTTGTAATTAAATTCACCCAAAAAAGGCCTCAGAAATAGACCAAATACAAGGCAGCATTATTTTCTGGATAGCAGAAGATGATATTCAAAGGTATGTACTTAAAGAAACTCAGTTCAGAGATGAGTTTTTTTACTTAATATGGGAGAGAGAAGAGTAACAATGGAGATAATGTGAGGCAATGGTACTGTAGACATGCTAGTATAATTTAAAGTCCATAAACTAATGAAGTTATTTCTCCCTCACACACCTCAAAACCTTTTAAAGACTCCACCTCTGCCCCATTTCCCTGGAACAGATACAGAACTTCTTCTAATAAAACATTATAATCCCCCTGCTTCTTAAAATAGCCACCATTTAAGAAAAATGTTCGGAATATTTGTATCTATTACATTATTTAGTTAAGGTTCTTCTTTTGCTCTAAGTTAAATCTGCCAAATTTGATGCTCAATCTCCATAGAAAGGCGACACTCCCTCTAGAAGACAAAATTGATTTATACAATATTCCTCTATTACTCCAGCTACATTCAATAAGTGTAGATAATTTGTGGCATTCAACATTTTCCAGAAAAGAATAACATTGAAAAGGAGATCAACAAACTCATTGAGGAGCATTTAGGAACATGAAAAAGTGAAAACGTAGGAGTTCTCTGTTGGCAAGTACCTGTAGACAGACATATTCCTGTTGGAAGGAAGCTATGATACAAGCTCACCTCATTACCAATGTGAAAGTAAGTTAAGTTTCCCACTCCCTGCTGCACACCAAACAACTGAAAACATTGCCAAGAAATGTGTAATGCCCAAATGTCAGTACAGAGCTCAGAAGCTGTTCTGAATATGCAGTTCCTCTCTGTCCCTTTTTGTTACTGCTACACAGGATTTATTTTAAAAAGTTATGTCCTTTCATGTTTGAAGCTGGATTGCTTTTCCAGAGAGGTCTGCTTCCATTCATACTATTGCAGTTCAAGGTACACGTGTCGTGCAGCAGACACTACACAAATGTCAAAAACCTGCCCCAAAGGATTATTTCAGAATGTTCTTTTCTGAAAATGAGACAAGGTGTCATTTTGTAACACTGGTGCTTATGATTATTTATGGCTGATGATTATTTAGTGTTAAACTACTGAACATCATTTTATCATTTCATGTTTAAAAACAACAAAGCAGAAGCATTTCTGAAAACCCACAAAACTTAAAAACTCACCTTTAAAATTTTTGAAGTAACATATAAAAAGCAACTAATTTAATTAGCTCCTTCAAAATCTAAATAAATGAATCAGTTAAATTTTGCCCTTGTTATACAAAAGCCACGAAGTTTTATGTAGAATCCCATTTGTATTCTAGAGCAAATTGTACAACAGTATCAAAGTTTCAGGTACACCAGAGCCCATTTCTCCATTCCTGAAAGTTTGTAGAACTTGCCACTAAGCCACACCTTGAAACAAAGGACTGCACTAAACACTACAGTCAAATTTTAAAAATTAGAGTTGATTACTTTAAATTTCAACATAAGAACCTTTGTGCATTATGCACTGAGAAGACCCATGAATAGACTTTCAGAATGAAATTATGGCTGTGCACAGCATATAAGGAAAGGATAAATCACACACGCACTCAAGAGGAATGTAAGAATAAAGTAAGTCTGTGCTAAAGCGAGAGCTCTGGGTCATATGCTTGGCAATTGTCACAAGTCAGTGTTTGCAGTTAGAACTCAAACTTTTCAGACATTTTCTGAGGTTTATTACAATCAGCAAGACCTTACTGTGCTCTCCTGTAAACAACATCTACTCAGAAAGAAAATAAAAAAAAGCAAAACAAGACTCAGAGCATAATTTTTGGAGTCTGCACGTACATCATTCTGCAAATGTGTGCCCTCTGGGACTAAAGCAATAAACCTAATGGGCAGGCCACCTCCCAGGAAATAACTCAGTCTTGGAGTAAGTAATGCACACCACAGCTTACATGCCTTTCCAGAAATAATTATAATTGATCATCTACAATGAAGCCTTATTGTGAATTAAATATAGTAACTCTTATTCACAGACTGCAAGTGCTTCTAATGTACTCCTTAAGCTAAATGTTGACTGTCCTGGCAGAGTAATTTTCCAAAGAAACTGCATTTTTTTACATAGGAATGCCTGGCTTTTTTAAAACCTAAGTTCTGTCAGAATTTATTTTTAATCTATAGACTTATATATATATATATGAAACTGAATCTAGAGGGTAGTAATAAAAGTAAAATTGTAAATGTGGATTTAATAGAAAGCCCTTCTCAGCACCTGGATCTGTTAGCATCTGTCTTCCAGTATGCTAACATCCAGTCTGTTAAAGGATTATTTCAACAGTTTTGCAAGTAACTTTAGCATAAAAGTGACTCTGCTGCTTGCTCCCCATTTTACATTTAAGTGGAGACCATATAAAAATCATGTTTTTTACATGATGGAGTTTTCATTATGGAAGGAAACATAACACAGTTCTTAGCATGAACTTCAGAAATAATTTTACATTATTAAAAAAATCATTGCTTAAAAGAAAAATGCAGATCAATCCTAGCTTAATTGTCTAACTGCCTAGCTGTTTGGTATGCCAAAATCATAGAGTACAAGGTGCCTCTGCTTGTACTGCAGGTGCCACATCAACAACATAATCCACAACTATTTCTATGACTTAAAAGAGAGCACAGCAGGAGAAGAGATGGTGTAGCTAAGCCCTTAACAGCAAAAGGTGAAAGGCTGTTTTATGCAAACTAGACCTCCAAACTCTATTTCTATGGTGCAGTTGTGATTTTGGTTATTGGAAAGTTATGATGCACAGGGCTGTACCACACATGAAGAAGCAAACCACAAAATGTTAAGAAATGCTGTGTCCCATTTAGCTTTTTGTGACTTCTCATGGACATGATACAAAAATAGCAGTTCTAAGCAGACTGCCTAGATAAAACCTTCATTTAGAACTTATACTGTTCAGTAAAAAAAAACCCCACAACAAAACTGATCATAATGACCAGAAACCCCCTTCCATGAATAATCCTTTCACCATAGCTGTGGTGCACGCATTTCTGCCTGAAAGTTGCTTTTGACTTTGACAGAATCCTAATATCAGCACTATGAGAACAAAAAAGTACAGCAAAAATTGTGTCCTTGTGCTCCTGGAAAGTCCATTTTACATGCTACTAAGAAGAATTCTATTGCTCCCCTGGAACTGCAAAGCATAATGAACTTTAAACTTTTCAATGCCTAAGATGCTGAAAAGATATACTGACACCTAATCATTCAGAACCAATTTCAAAGCATGCCACTACTTTGTCCTCACAGATGTTAATTTTGAAAAGTGAGAAGCATCTTCAATACAGTTCAGCTATGAGGCATGTCTCCAAGAATGCAAGAAGTTACTGATGACACTTAGGAAAAAAGGTATGCAATATGAAAGAGAGTACAGTGTGATGTGAGTTGACTCTTTGCTTATATAAAAATAATAAACACAGGAAGATGAAGAATATAAATACTGTTTTTTTCAAATTTGAAGACAAAGTACTTTCCTTGACCAAATGAAACAACAATTAATGAATATATAATAGTGATGATTAGAAAGTAGTAAAGTCTCCTGCCTCTAGCAGAAGATGAATTCCTGTTCTGTATAGACGCTTTTGCAGTTTCAGACACATGTATGAAATCAACGCATTTATTTGTATTTGCAAGGAGGCACAGTAAAAACAAAAATTCAAGTCTTGCACATATCATTAGATACCAACTATAAGAAACAGGAAAAAATAAATACCCACCTAGCTTTGCCTCAGAAGTGTCCATCTCCCATTTGCTTTTCGGAATGTAACCCTAAATCATACACAGAAAGAAGCTCGGAGGATTAGAGAGAGACACACATGCATATCACTTTTGAACTGGAAACAGCATTACAACGGGAGTTCAAGGTATTTCTTTTTGTAAGGCACAAGTCTCATTATCAGATGGAGACCAATTACTCGGTATTTCAGAACTTCTGCATCCACTTGCCATTCAGTGATTTCAGTAGCCCTTGCAAATCATTACAAGAGTGCTGCCCTCTGCAAACACAGAACTCCAGAATGAGTCTGACAGACAGCAAACGCACACTGAAGTGTGCAGTTACTGTATTGTATTATTCCAGGTGGCAAAGTCACACAACTTTCAGGCATAAAGAATATTCAAAGCTTTACAAACACAAATGAAAACGTTACCATAAGTTTTTATGAACACATTCCCAGATTTAGTACACACAAGTTTCACTTACTCCTTTTGAAGGGACATACTAAATTAATGTATGAGTGGTTAATCCACAATTAAACAATTTTTTTTGTTTAAATGAGAGAATCTGCTGAGCCACTAGGATTTAAGTATTACTTTTCATTTTAAAATAGTACTCTTAGTGCAATGATTCTTATAAAACAATTCTGCCCTACAAATAATGTCACCATGTGTAATGATCTTTAGCAGTTTATTCTTTGTAAATGAGCATAATGAAAATAAATTTGGCAAAAAGGTATTTATTTTAGTTAGCCTCTTGTTGTATTTTCTTTTTATATTCTTTGACAAGTAAATTGTTACTAAGCAACCCTCATTTCAGCTGTTCAGTTTTGGTATAAAAGTACTTATGTTCCTCTGCAACCACATAAAAAAGTTCAAGGTAGTAAATGGAAGCCCTCCAAGAGAATTTAATTATTTTTTAGAATGTTTTTTAACAGAGAGGGAAAAGAACTACTCTAGAAGATTTCAAGAAGAAAACAAACAATCCACAAACCAGTTTTATTACACTAACTTCTTTCCTGCTTTATTTATAGGTTGCTTCCACTGTGGTAAAAATATATGTGTATTTGTTAATACTATGTGTTACTAAATTCGTGTATTCCAGTAAATTCCAGAGAGCCACACTGCATTTGATTATATTCAGCACTGCTCTTAAAAAATCCTTGAATGACCTTTTTCTATCAAACATATATCAGTGACTTGAGGTTATCGGATCTCTGGATTTTCTTGGTTTTAATCAAATTTGTAATTAATGCAAACCAAAACAGTTTGTGCTGCAATGTTTCCTTGTAACAAATAAATAAACTTCATGTATATACATATGTTTATACATTTAAACCAACTTGCACTTTAAAGCTTGCTCAGAGAGTTTACACCACAGCTAAAAGCCTGCATTAAACAAAGTGATGTGGGATACACTGGTGAGAACACTAAGTTAAATGTATCAGTAATTCATACCATCAAGCACAGAAAAGCAGGAATTGTCTGAATGCTACAAACAATCCTATGGGAGTTGATAATAGCAAGAAGAGTGACTTTGATGGTGTGAAATGGCCTATTGTGTGCTGAATCTATACAATATCCTGGTTCTCAAATAGGATAAGCAAAGATTCAGACTTTATCCTTTGGTACAAGACAGTTGGATATTTCAAAGACATCTGCCAGATGGCAGGAGCTTCAGACCTCCCTTTTCTCACAGGATTAAATGCAGCAAAATGAATTGCATAACCCTTATCAAATGTTCTCAAAAGGGCAAGAGATAGTGAATACAGTGTCCTGTTCCACTTTCTGTCTGACATAATTCTCTGAGATTAGCCATCTGACTGAATTCAAGAGATTACCCACAGCAGATAATGCTCTTTTTCATATCTTGTGCATCTGAATAGAACACATTCGTATATGCAGATTACTTTTTGCTTTCTCTTTGTCCCAAAGAAAAGGCCTATTGTTATAAGTGCTGTACATTAGGACACTCTCCAGAACCCATAAACACACACATACACACACAGAGTTATGCACAGATGTCTCAAAAGTTAAAGACAACTTTTTCTTTTAACTATAGCTCATGGAAACAGGACTAGCAGCCATATTCTTGTAAACATGGATGCATCTTTGAAATGTTCTAACCACACTTTATGCAGTCTCATTTTCTGCGCCAAAGAATAATTTAGTAAAGAGAATAAATGAGTCATGTTGAAAGAAATAGATGTTTATTAGAATCCACTTTTCCTAAGCTTTTTAAAATTCTGATTTCAATTGCTTTCTGACCTGCCACTCCTGACAAATAGTAAATTTCCATCAAGGAAAAACACTTTGCTCAACTCAAACATTTTTGGTTACTTCCTGTTTATTGAACTTTAACTGCTTGGTTGTGGGCACCAAGATTTGAGACATTCAGCTCATCAAGCACAGACCAGTTGCAGCTCCAACACATACCAAGAAGTTACAGCAGGAAGCCTTTCGTAGCCTTTTAAATACATACCTAAAAAAGCCAGCCCTCAGGGCAATTCTGTAACCTTTATTTATCCAAGAGACCTAATGCCTCACCTTGGAAATACCACCTGACAAACAAAGTCAGTCAACCGTGGCAGAAAAAGCAGTCTTCATAACTGTTACTATATACTGTGACAGTTGAGGAGAGTTCTTTAGACACATGAAAGGAAATAAGCTAAATTAATCTTTGCCCATTGTTCCCATCCCTCTACTTTGTGTCATTCTTAGATTATCTGGAAGACAGCGCTATTATGTACTGCAATTTAAAATATCTCTATGAGGCATGTTATCATGCTCTATAGACAGTACTGTTTGTAGCACATACTCACATATTCTTAGAAATAAATTAGGAAGAAATAATAGGATTTATCATTAAAGTTCTCCTAGAAATGTTTAAGTAAAAAACTGCTAGAAACATGTGTATTAAGATCGCACTGCTAAGAACGGCAATGGGTTGGCATTTGTAAGACTGAGATTCTCTCTCAGACACATTAATGAACAATTTGTTAGGGATGGCTGATGTGTCTCCTACCAGTTCACTTTCTTCTTCCTCTGCTGTGTCCTTCTTTGCTTCTTCTTTCTGGTCTTCAATATTTGCATCAAAATCCTCCATCTCCACCTGTTCCAAAGCACATGCACAGACTTACAGGGCAGTGTCTGGATTTTAATTATTTTCTTTTTAACAGAATAAGTAGAGATGTCCAAATTCAAATTGAAAAGAAAGGATTCATCTTTGAAAGTATGGTGATGCAATATATATGAACCCTGTATCCATTCTGGCTTTCGTAAGAAGCATGTTCTCTTCTAGCAACAGAGTGACAAAGAATATTCTTTACAAAGATTTTCTGGGGAAAAGCAAAAATTCCTTCACATGCATTCATTGTGTTACCACTATCTGTGACAGCAAGATACTTCTCTTGCTTCCCACACAATCACATTTCAAAACTTGCAGTCTCAGAAAAAGTTCTTAAACTTGCCATTTGTATATACCTGGAATGGCTGCCTCTGCATAGAACACCACTACTGAGCCTTTATCTTTTATGTTTTTTTTTTAATCACAGTAAAGAATAATAGTAACCACAGAGTTCAGCATAACCATAGAAGAATGAAGACATAACATCTAACTCTGCTCATCTAATGCAATACTGTCTGGGCTCCGCAGCTGTACTGGGGACCCATGCATATACTCTGGAATATGTAGAACTCCCCAGGTCTGTACAGTCCTTTACATAATTTGCAAAACCTTGTAAATCCCAATCTGCTGTTCTCTGAGCCTGCTTTAGAGTGGAACCTTTTGCTGTCCTCTTGAAGATTACTATTTTCCAGTACAAAGAATTTGGAGATGTAATAATAACTTGCTAACATTGTGACAACCTGCAAAGACCCTCTGTCTACTTCAGCAGTTCATCCGTTTCTATGGCTGTGTCAGGAGCTGTTCTAACAGCAACAAGATATGGTTTATTCACAAAGACTACACAACTAAACACTAATTTATGCCCACAGTTCCTCACAACTGCTGAAGAAGGCAACAATACAATAAGCTGATACACCAAAGATGCATGTCATGGCAAACTGCAAATGAAATGCGAAGGCAATTACAGCCTTCTGCTACATGTTATTTATTTCTTCATTCTCTGCTAAACACCTGTATTTCTCAAAACAAGGACCATGTTAAAATTTGTTTATTTCCTTATCTTACTTTCTCCAACTACTTTCTCAAAATGTGATCTAAATAACTCAGTAACCTGTAAAAAGTGCTGAGCTTCATCTAAAAGTACAAAGTTTCTCTTTAATCTCCTTAATTGATATTCAACAGTTGCTAAGAGCAAAGTGACTTTTGCTCAAAGATGCCCAAGTCTGAGCTTCAAAAAGTTGATAAAAGGTAAAAATATACATTCATGTTTGGGGTAATTCATAATAACAAAATACACTTTCCTGACAGTGATTCTGGCTTTCTAAAGTGCCTTGCTGTGATCACATCTTTGTCAGCTTCATATTTTCAGTACAGTCACATTGACCTAATCTGCAGTTTTAACAAGCACAGAGATTCTCACCTCTTCAATAGCAGCATCCTGCAACAGAGAACGAATGTCCAGGCGCATCATGTGGCGTGGTGCTGCCTCCCAGTGATCAGACATCTAACAAAACACACAAAAATGAAGCACCTCTAAAAATCTAACAGATTAATTGGAAAATTTGGTTCCTGATTGCTAACAGGATGTATCTGTACTTCAGTAATTTTAATCAATCCCATGAAATAACTACCAGTATTTCTTAGAGGAAAAGTGTAAGCATTATGTAGTCTATAGTTTTCAAACAACAGCAGCCCCAAAGCACAGTATGACTCCAGATGTATATAGTTACCCTGCTGATATCCTTTAGCTTGCGCCCATGAATATTCCTCTTGGAACACGTCTGGTTATCTGCACTCATTTCAGCTAAGTACACCTAGAAAGAAAAAGACTATTAAATATTGTAAACCAATTTTTAGAGCTCTTTGTCTACCTTGTGATACACCCTGCATTTGTACGCTTAAAGAAAGGTAAATTTGTAACTGTAAACCACAGCATTTTTCCTGAATGTAGGAGACTTTTCCATTCAAAAGTTTAGAAACATCAGCATATGGCTGTCAGCAAGTTCAAATGCTATTTAGGCTCCATTACCTCAAACCCCTTTGTTTTTGCAGCACTCCAAAACTGTTCAAAGTGTCGCACTCTATCATTGATAGCATCAAGGATAATGAAGGGAAAGAAGCCGTCGTCCAAGGTCTTTTTGAAAGTTTTAAACATGCTGGTACGGTAGGTCTCCTCCATATCAGCCTCATATTCATACTCCATCACCTTTACCAAGGACAAAAGCATTAAGAAAGAGGACATCTATAAAATGGCTAAATTCAACACCTGAATGGCATGACCACAAAGTACACTGGTGTGGGAAAAACACCTTTCAGGACAGTTTTTAAGAATTTGCTCATACCACCCTAATATAACCCTAAGTTATATTGGCTTGTCTTTAAAAACAGCCCAGAGACCTCTGCACTCTTCCCAACCCACAGACTGGAATTCTGATTGCCACTGTTTTTCCAGAATGTCTTGTTTCTTTGTCAAGAAATGCAAGAGAATTAAGACTACCTTCTTTTTAACTTTTTTCCCTGTATCTGGGTCTCTCTCCTCTTTCTCCACTTCAGTGATAAAGTAGTCATCCAGGCTGAGCACTCTTGGTGCAGGTCCTCCACATTCTACCTCCTTATCCTGGGAAGAAAGCAAAAAAAAGCATATACATTTGCTGTAAAAATTCCATTCTGCTACACTTCAAAATACTTCAAAATCTTCTAAATATTTTTGGTCAACAGCAGTTCCCTGCTCAATAGTAAAAACAAGAAGTATCCCTCCTGCTTGCTAATACTGGTGGAGATTCACATAGCAAATGAAGACATGGAACATGAAATAACAACAGACTTGAATTCTAGGCAAACAGAAAGCAAACAGTAGAAGCACATGTAAAAGACAAGCAGCACTACACAGTGAGTGCCTGTTTACATACCCTGATGAGTTTTGCTACATGTGTCTTTCCACTGCCAGGTAACCCTCTCATGATGATCACAATCTGAAACAAAGATCATGTAAGCAGATATGATACTGTACTATATTAACAGACTCTTTTTTGAAAATATTTTCTTCTGGAGAATTACGTGTGGGCTCACAACACATAATTCTCCAGAATTTTGCATATCATCAAGCACTCACTGTCTGTTTTAGAAACCAGGCTGTGAGAAATGGTAGTAGCTCCACATAATTCAGAGTTTTTGATGTTAATCACCACAGCAGTTTAGGCTGCATGCTATAGATCTGGCTCAGTTTCACTAACTTCTTTCATTCAACTGAATGAAACTTACCTAAATGTTTTATAGCTTAAATTGTGTTCTTTCTTATATAATATGGTGCATTGCCAAATCCCTGGGTAAAAACAAGTTTTTCCCCTGATACATCAAAAACCAAAGTGAAGACCTCAGAAGAGGCCAAAATACCTTAATATTACACACCAATTTGCTTTGAGCATTCCAATGAAGTTTACCACCTCTGTGGACTCCTAATAGCTATGCTACAACACTCCAGGTGTTTGCAAAGGAACCAAGCTAATTTCCAGAGCTTCCTCAAATGGACACTTGTTCCCAACATAGTACATCCACCAGCATTCTATCTGAATACAGACCTTGTTCAAACTGATTGCTGCTTTCAGAATGTAGACTCACCCTCTCTGGCCTGCTATCCCGTCCTGGTGGCTTTAAAATATCATCTACATTTTTAGATTCTGGCTTCCTTTCTACTCGTGGAGCAGGTGGTGGCTGACGAGGCATTGATGGAGCAGAAATAGGAATCCTTTCCTCAGGGTAATTTCTACGATCACCTTCAAATTCCAGTGTTTGGACAGAAGAATTTTCTTAGTTCAGTAAAATAAAAAAATTAGGATGTTCTGAGCTGATTTAAACACCTTCATTATTTTAACTTAAATTAACAGATATGTCCTCATAAATAATTAAAATTTCTAATCTTAAACCTACTGCAATCAAAGACAGTTTTTAGCAGAGTATATAATGGTTTCATTCATGATCTCAACACCACAGAGAAACAAAACTAAATACCACCACCTAAAGAGATTTTCCTGAATTATATATTTTGAACAAACAAATACTGCAAATCAATCTTCTACCAATTAATCTTCACCTCTGCAAGTCCATTATTTTTTATAATATTCTAGCAAGACTTTAAGGTAGAGAAACTGTACCTCCAAACATAGAAGGCCCATGATCATATGCTGGACGATCTGTCTTTCGTTCATATGGTGGTCTGTCAAAACCACCTCGCCTGGAGGATGGATGGTCCTTCTTGTCACGGTAAGACTGAGTCCTTGAAGGTGTGGTAGGAAGAACCCTGCCAAAAAAGTATTTAGTGTATTTTGCGTATTTTTGTGAATTTCCACTGTGGATTCCAGAGTGAAAGGAACATGTACTTCACAGGCAAAATGGACAGCCTGATACACAATACAGCCTCAACTGTATTGGTGTCCATAGTGTTCCAAAACCACGTACCTATCATCTCGGGGATGCCGCTCCTTGTCAAACCTCTCTCGTTCATAGTCCACAGAGCCTCGGTCTCTGTGCAATTCCCGCTCCCTCTTGAAATCCCGATGATCTGTGCTGGAATTACCCTGACGCTCAAAATAAGGCTCACGATCTCTTTCTCTATTGTAGCGACCTGGATGCTCTGAAGGGAGAAACCCATAGAAATCCAAACTACTGTTTTGGAAAAAGAAGGCAACAGGTAAGAGTGCAAAAAAAGTATATGGTATGTGAGCTAGGATGCACTTTATCAGACACTCTTTTCTAAACTGTACAAGAGACAACCATACCATGCAGTCCTACTTAAAGCTACAAACTGAGTTTTTAAAGTGGCTAGGTTATTGACTGCAGTACTCCTCTTGAAAATATAAACTGTTATTCTTATGGACCTCTGAAGAAAATAAAGTGGTTCTAGCTTAAACAAGAGCTACTTAATTTGAAGAAGCTTTTAGCATCTTACAACTTTTCTTAAGAGCTAACTATTTGAAAGCTAGCCAAGCACCTCCTACCTTTTTGAAATGTTTGCCTGTCCGGTAGAGGTTCTGGACGAAGGGTTACCCTCTCCCCATATGGAATCTGTTCCACTTTACTCGTGGTTATATCTGGTTGAAAAAAAAAAATCCTAAGGTTTTAAAACACATGTCTTGTATTTTCTTTCCTCTTGAAAAGTAATCAGTCAAAAGTGACTAGAACAAGCTACCATAATTTCTTTTAGTGGAAAATGCAAAAAGAGCTTTATATAAATAAACAGCACCATGGTTTTTAAAGGATGAAGTGGGTCTGTGTGTGTGTATGTAAACCACTCTATCTTAGCAATGGGACTTCTGCTTTTTCTGGTGAGTTCAGGTAGCATGCAGTGTCAGAAAATTCTAAACATTAAAATGCTCTGTAAGTTTTAATAACTCACAGAGTTACTGTAATGTCAAGAATAGTAACTGAAAGTCTCACAACAATCACATTTTTCAAACAGCTTTTAGCAAAACATCTACTTAATGGAACAGATATGGCTTCCAGTCCTGTTATGTACTTTAGAGAGAGAAAAAACAGTCTTTAAATGACAATGTGCAATTTAAGAACTTCTTTATGACATGATTTCACTCCTCTTAAAGGAGGGGGATCAATTCTATTAAAAACTAGTGTTGAATTTTAGCCTTGGTAAGCTCAATAGTAAAGAGCAGAGCCCTCCACTATTTACCTATGTGTTAAACAACTGTATAGGGTGCATGCCCTTCAGAACCAGACTCTGCCTCCCCCTCTGCCTAGAGGGTACCTCACACCCATTATGCAGTATATCAATAATGCAAACACCAGCCACATTCTGTTTTAAGTCACATCTAAGAACTCTAACCATCTGAAGTACCTTCTAGCCTAATTATTTCCATACTCACCTACAAAGGGATTAAAGGAAAGTAACACTATCAACCTAAATACAGAACATAACTAGAAGCACATGGGTGCTTCTAGTAAGTACAATAATAAACATTGTACTTACTAGAAGCACCCATGGCTATACACCATTCATGGAATAGTAACCATAGAATATACACTGTTCACCAACATGAAATAGCTCTTTCTAAAAGCATCAAGAAAAACACTAAACTCAGAGTCATAACTGGTTAAAGGTTAGAGACTCCTTATAACTGATCAGCATTACATCATTAATGCACACAAGCCTACACATCAACTGCAGAACATGCATACTTTGCATGGCACACTCCTTAAAAAAAAAAAAAAAACAAAACATCAGGAGGACTAATTAGCTCTTTGATACATATCAAATGCACTGTGATACCCACCTCGCCCGTGGCCATAATCCACCGTTTGCTGAATGATGGGTGCTTTGGGAACCGCTGGAATAACCGGAGAAAGGGACACTGGTACAGCTGGTGGAATGGAGGTGTGGACAGCAGGTACCTTCACGGGTGAGGAGACAGGGGGAGGCATCATGGACTCCTGCTTACACAGCTCGTACTCCATATTGGCACCTTTATCCTCATTTGTGTCCCACAGTCCGTGGAAAGAGTCCTCATCCCAGCGTTCCTGTTCCACAGTAGAAGGTGATGGTTTTAAAGACTGACCATGACTTGGGGTTGTAGTTGGAGTAGAAAGTGGAGCATGTGGCTTTGTCATAGGTGTAGTAGGCCTTGCCAGTGGGGCACTTGGTCTTGCCACAGGGGTGGACTGTCTGAACAACACGGGAGGCTTTATAATAACAGCAGAAGGCTTAATAGCTTGGGCTTCTACTGGTGCCTCTGAAGATAGCTGAGAAGAGACCTAGATGCAGAAAGCACTTTTAATGTAGATCTGCAAACTAACCTTCTCTCATCCTCAGTATGTGCAATGGCAATTGGTAGTCAAACCATACACATTTTCTAGAACCTCCATCAAGGTGCTACAGGTAGGAGGACTATTTTTTAAAGCTGGCGGCCTGATTTAATTTTGCATTTGCTCACTATGTGAAGGCTTAAACACTACTGATTTTCTTCAAAATAACCTTACCAATTTTAGCTCCAGTAGGCCTATCTCAGTTCAAATGTGTCTACTGTTTATTTCCAAAGACTCCTGCTGTCTGCAAAGATTCCTGCTGTCTGTGTGAAGGCTGAAAATCTGAAAGTAGGGCAGCTTGGTGAGATGCAAAAGGATTGATAAAGCCAGTTTCTTTGTGGAAACCACTGGAAAAATTCAGAGAGCAGAAATACCTGGAAAAACCTTAATAAAATAAATATCAGAAGAACATAAGAAATTGGAAGGTCTTGCCTAGTCGAAAACCAAACCAAACCAAACATCCACAAGAAACCCCACACATTACAAGACTTTTCAGCATCAGAGCAGATGCCAAGTTACAGACAGCCTTATTAGCAACATACAACAAAAATTGCAGGAAGGTTGTAGATACAAAGCTGAGCTCTGTAATAACAACCTCAAAGTCACGGCAGAAATATCTGGAAGGAAGAATTCCAAGAAAGACAAAAGTTGTTTGAAAACCTCTAGGCAGACAAGTGAAGTAGTCTGAGATATTTTATTTTGATATTTTCTAACTTCCTAAAGGCATCAACATATCTTGGTAGCAAACCAGCTCCATTATTTTACTTTACAGACACTGTAAACAAGGAAGAGGTCACCTAAGCAAAAAGAAAACTTGCAGTGCCTCATTCACTGCATAACACTTCCCTGGACGGAGGGACAAAAAAAGGTTGGTCTGGCTAAATGTCAGAGCCAGAAGACCTTATGGCTAAATTTATTGGTGTAAGCAACTTTGGGGTTAAGATGTGATGAAGAACAAAGATGGTGCATCAACTCAGATGTCTCCTCCAATACACATTTAACGAAACTGTTTACTCATTCTAGGAATGATTTATAAACCTGAGTTAGCACGACTGCAGAAGTTCAGTTGATTTCTGAATTATCAAAAAAGCCAAATATAAGCATCTGAGAACAGTTACCAGAACTGCACAGGAAATTAAGCAGTAGAGGAGTAGTTGCATCACAACAGGATGGAGGTACACAAACATGAGTTTCCAGGCACTTCATGATATTCTAGAAGGTAATAAAAATTCCCAATAAAAACAGCAAACAGAAGGCCAATGCCCATGCTACATTGAAATATCTCCATTTCTGATGGATGTATCTTCAAGTTTTCCCAACTTCAAAGAGGAGATAGCTCCTGGAGTAGGAAAAGCAGTGCAAATTGAAAGAACTTAAGCAAAGAAAAACAGGGTCTTCTTGTGAACCTTACGTCCCTGTTTTGGGAGAGCTCGCCTCTTTTCACACATTATCCTACAGCAATGTAGACTGTTTTATGTGCAACCATCCCTGATGGGTCATACTCAGAAGACATGGTGGACTTGTAGGTGTAGAAGGAGGGATTACAAGGGTCCTCGCCCCTGCTAAGTCACAGTTGTACTAATTACCAAAGAAGAATAGCCTTGCCCTTAATGGGGTCTGACTAATAAAGGTAAGTGTGATAGAAGGCATGGGTTGGCCAGTCAGGGAGAGCCTTGAGGAAGAGGACCTTGAGGAGGTAGAGAAGGCCTGAAGAAAAAGGAATGATCCAGAGAGACACAAAGAAGAACAAAACAAGGAAGAGAGTTGCTGCTGCAAAAGATCTGCTGAGAGGTCAGTCTGGGTTTGATAGTTAGAGCCTACTGTTGGAGCCTGCAGTCATAGCTGAGCTAGGTAAAAGCCTGCAGTCAGAGACAGCAATGAAATACTTGCAGTCCTATTCCAGCAGGAAATAGCCAGCAGTCAGTCTGTCAGAGAAGCAACAGCAGGAGTTTGCTGTAGTCAGAGTCAGGATGGCTAAGCTGTAAAGAAGAATAAACCAGGACCCTTTTCAGGTTTTAAATGAGAGTCCGTGCCTTGGCTCATTTCAACCCCTAACGAGAGGTCTGCTGCAACAGACTGAGCAGAAAATGCTTTGGAAAATTTAAAGAAACAAAGAAGTTGTTTTGCCTCAACAGAAGACAGCTAAGGTTGTAAGGATTGCTGGGGAAGCACTCCAGAGAGAAATTGGACCATCAGTGTGTAGAACTGGTTCAACATAGATAAACAGTAATTCCTACCAACATGTTATCAGTGTAAGATGAATTTACCTGAAAGGCACCTGGCCTTGTGCTTGTGCTCTGTGATCTTGGAGAGTCTTGGGTGGAAATGTCAGGTTTGAACTCCTTCAACTTCTGTAGCTGTTCTTTTTGCTCCCTGCACATGCATCATAAGAAAGTGTTATCAGTCTATAGCTTAAATGAAAAATTAAAGAAATCAATGCTCTTGGTGAGAACACGTATTACACTAGTACCAGAGACAAAACCAAAAGAAGAAAAGGACACAGCAGGCTTTATATGGGCAATGCTGTGATTCAGAAATCCCTGTTTCACATCCACCTAACCATGGAGGCATTTAGTGTATTAGCTGCACGCTTTTTGATCACAAGTTTCCTGAGACATGTAGTTATGCTTTTGTGCTTTGCCAGAATCACTCCATTTGAACAGCAAAGAGAAAAGCTGATTTTTGGTTTTTGTCAACACCTTCTGCAAGCAAGAAACCCCTTGGAAACACATACCTAAGTGCTCTCAGTTACTTGCTCTGGTTCACATGGTAACAGGATTGAGGCCAACAAAGCACAAGAGATTCCAATATATAAAAAACCAAACAATGAGTCTAACTTTTGCTTCTTTGGTTTATATATCAAAATGCTATTTAATACACAACCAATACATACTCTACAGAGCAGAGAACAGGTTCAGCTGTGAGTACTACAATCACTGGATTACAAAGTTCTAGTGAATATGATTTCCTTTCCCTTCAGTTATTGTTAGCATTTTTTAATCTAGGTTTTTCAATTGCTAATAACTCTGTGTATTGAAGCAGTTTCTAAATGACAGCTAGGAATGGGATACCTCTGTAACAAGGCGTAACAGAAACCACACTAACCAGTAATGCACCAGTTCAGTGTTCAGCAGAAGGGGAACTTGGCTCAAAGAAAAGAATCCTCAGCATTTTGTAAATACAAAAGAGTAAACTGAGCACTACACTAGATCACAAATACAGAGCAGGCTGCAGCTGAGACCATGCTGTTTTACACACGATAAAAGCAAAGCCAGATGAAGGCTTTAGTTTTGGAGATGAAAGCAATTATATACCACACTACTGGTATAACTCTTGGCTCAAAAAATCCCCATAAAAATTACTAAGTAATCTCCATAAAGTTGTTCCTACTGTTCAGACTTAAATCATCTGCCCATAAGAACCTAATGAGAAGTAGCAGTGTAACTAATATGAAGATTACTCTCATATTCTATTAAAAATCAGTATCATGTTTATATTTCCCCTTTTTATTGGCTTTGAAAGATGCATAGGTAACCACTTTTTACATAAAACATTTTAGTGACTATTTTTAAATTATTTAAGCCCTAATAAATTTCTCTCATAGTGATTCTCAAACTATGTTCCTTAGCCTAAGTGACTGGCTTGCAGCTAGACACAAAAAACAGCAAAACATATGCTGGGCAACTGAGGCAATGAGAAAGTCAGGAAGCTGAAAATAATGTTACTCCAAACTTTCAGCAAATACTACTTTATAACACAGACTTCACAGTTAATAACACCATTGAATTAATCTGACTGTAGTAAGTTATTAAATTATTCAGAATAAAAGTTCTCCCTTTAAAAAAATTATTTTTCTTGCATTTTGGCATGCATCTAAGACCTTCTATATGGGACAGGTGCTCAGCAATCTTACAAATCCGAAAACAAAACAGTCTGAAGAAAAGTGCAAAACATCTCTATCATGAAATGGATTGAGATGGGACTTTAAAAATCATCTAGTTCCAGCCTTCCTTTCACTAGATTAGGTTGCTGAAAGCATCATACAGCCCCATCTCTCCTATTACCAATTTCATAATAAACACTTAGGAAGTCTAGTAGCTGCTTTCTAAAAATGCAGTCTTGATAAACTCTTGCATTCATATCTTCCTAACTGTTATATCACTCCTTTTATGCTGATTCCCAGAACTTAAGATCAACCAAATTTGAGAAAATTGTTCACTGACAATATTTGGTTTCAAATGAGGAGGCTCTGTAAAAAACCAAACAAACGAACAAAAACCCACCTATGTTTTAACTTAAAAGTGAGCAATATGAAAAAACTAGGTCTTAAGAATTACATTAATGTAGGTCTTGAGGGGTAAGTACTAAAAAGCAATTATCACTAAGCTCATCTGATACTACCAAAAATACTGAAAAGCAATTATCCACAAGTTTATTTAAGGATAACAAAAAGATTGGTCAGATGATGGGACAGATCTCTTCCTGGAACGTAACATACAGAGCACCATACTCACAGGGAAAGGGACAATCATCTATTTAAGAAAAAAGTCCATCTAAAAAACTGTGGTAAAAGTACTCCAAATAACTTCTTCCACATGAGCTCCTACTATCCTGCTGCAGGTAAAAGAAATGAAGCCATTACTGTGTTGATTCAAATGGATCCCACAGTATGGGATTCCTATTCAAAATCACAGAACCAGGTAACTCACCGAAGCATTTTGAGCTCCTGGGCAGCCTTCAGAATTATCTCATGCTGTCTTTGGCTTAGGACCATCACTCCTCCCAAGGACTGGTCAGAGTCCAGGTTTGAATCTGCTCCCAGCATATCAGAGGAATGTGAAGGGGGAGGAAGGGATGTCTCTGAGTGGTCATCCAGGGACCTCAGTCTCTCTCCATCATCTGGATACCACCTATCTGACAAGCGTTCCCTCTCCCAGTCAGTCCTTTCAGGAAGGTAGTCTTGCTTCTCCCGCCATGTGTCATATCTCTCCGGATATTCTCGAATCCTAAGCTCGCCCCTGTCTCGGAGATCTCTGTCATAATGATCTCTGTTCCTATCGTCCCTCCACCTATCTTCACGATATCTGTCCAGAGGTGGAAGGGGTGGTAATGGTGGTAGAGGGGGGATATCCAGGTCACGATTCCCCATTTCTCTGTTATCCATAGGTCTCATGTCCCAGTCTCTATCCCATTCTTTGTCTAAATCTTGATCATAAATATCTGAGGATCTTCCAGTTCTATCTAGATCTCTCTCCAGTTCCCTTTCTCTTGGCCTTTTCCAGTCATCCCACCACGAATCTCGTCTGTCGTGATCAGATGATAAAGGAGGTAGTGGTGGTAGGGGAGACAATGGGGGCAGTGAATGGTGGGATTGCAACCTGTCATCTCTGTCATACACATGTACAGAATCATCCTGATAATCAGAGTTATGATCTCTCCAGTATTGTTCTCTTTCCCACTCATCCAACTGCTCATGCTCCAAAGACAGGTCATCTTGACTATCTAAAGGAAATTCCTCCTGCATTGTATCATCTTCGTGACCCCAAGAACCCCTGAATGTTTCATCTCGATGGTACGGAGGCAATTTGTCAGGGTCATCTCCTAGGTGAATGGGTTTACCCATACTGCCTGTTTCAGATCTTCCTGCTTCCCTCTCATGGCTATCTCCCCTTCTGATGGGACATCTCTCCCGGCTACCTGCCCGCCTGCCCAGGTCCCTCTCCCGGCTACCTGCCCGCCTGATGGGGACCCTCTCCCGGCTACCTGCCCGCCTGACGGGGACCCTTTCCCGGCTACCCGCCCGCCGCATGGGCTCCCTCTCCCGGCTACCTGCCCGCCGCATGGGCTCTCTTTCCCGGCTAGAGGCGCGTCTCACCGGGCCTCTCTCCCGGCTTCCTGCCCGTCCCCTGTCCCAGCTGCCTGTCCGTCCAGGTGGCTCTCTGTCTCGGTTAGAGAATACCCTCTCATGGCTATCTGACCGTCCACCTAGCCCCCTCTCTCGGCTGCCTGACTGTCCATCTGGCATCCTCTCCCTGCTGCCTGACCGTCTATCTGGCATCCTCTCCCTGCTGTCTGCCCTCCTGAACGCTCCCCTGCCACGGATGGATGGCTGCCTAGCCTGCCCCCTGCCTCTGTATACATATCCTCTACCACGGCCATCGTCCATCCTGCCCATTCCCCGGCCATGGCCATCGTCCATCCTGCCCATTCCCCAACCACCGTCCATCCTTCCCATTCCCCGGCCACCATCCATCCTTCCCATTCCCCGGCCACGGCCCATTCCCCAGCCACGGCCATCCCCCTGCCCTCTGCCACGGCCCCTTCCTCTGCCTCCTGGTCCCTTTCCTCTATCTTCATGCATGAATGGCCCTTTTCCTCTGCCTTCCGGTCCAGGTAGGCCCTGGGTGCTATCTGAAGCAGTCAGCTGGCCATCTGGTGAATCCAAATCCTCATTTCCTTCTGCAGGGGGTACTGTATTCTGGTTCTGAATAGGTGGGGAGGGTGCCTTGGACTCTTCTCCTTGCTGGTTGGGATCATGTGAACTCCATGTCCACTTTTTAGGAGGGTCTGAACTAGGTTCTTTGACTTCAGCTTTGGATGGCTCCTGTTGAGTGTTTGTCAGGTCCTCATTTGGCTCAATGGGACCTGTACTCTGTGCGTCAGGAGTAGACTCAGTTCTGCTTACAGACTGCTGATCACCAGCTGTGTCTGTAAAAGGTTCTTTGCTTTCTGACTGTGAGTCTACCTGTGTCTGCTGCTGCTGCTGCTGCTGTCCCAAATGAGGCCTGGGCCCCATCCACCGTGGACCACTAGGTCGGGAACCGTGTCCATGCGATGCATTTGCTGTATAAAATTGTCCTGCTGGTCCTCGTGGGATAGAGCCCCATCTACTTGAAGACTGTCCATCTGTATTCTGTCGGTCGAAACGTGACCTGTATCCTTCTGAGCGCTGGGAGTCAAAACGAGGGCCTCTCTGCCTTGAGCCTTCAAACTTGTCATATCCTCTTCCTCGAGGTCCATCAAATCTACAGATGACACAACAGTAAATGTTATTCAAATGAACATGTCATATTAAAGTCCTATAGATTAATTTCACACAAAATAGAGAACTCATGTCTAAAGTCAAGTTGCTTAGATGTCTGGGATTCACAGTTGTACATCACTAGACGAATCAGGAAGGCCAAAGCATGCCCATCAGCCAGAAAAGAAAGGTCACAGAAAGTGCACCCCTTGGATAAACACAACTGGCAAACTGGTAAAAATGCATGAGGAAAAGACTCAGATACTCAACAACTTTTTTGCCTTAGTCTTCACTGACAACCCTATGCCTCCTGAGTGGATGGACTGCAAAACAAGCACTAAGGGTGCAAAGTCACTCCCACAGTAAGAGAAGATCAGGTTCATGATGACCTGAAGAACCTGAATATATGTAAGTCTATGTGACTTGATGAGATACATACCAGAATACTCAGGGAATTTGCTACCATACTTGCCAAGCCATGATATCTAGAAAATGGCGACAGTCAGTGAAGTACCTGGTGACTGTGAGAAGGAAAACACTGCATCTGTTTTAAAAGACGGTAGAAAGAAGGACCCTGGAAACTAACCTGTGAGTCTCACCTCTGCCTGGGAAGATCATACAAGAAGCTAGGCCAAGGCACATGGAGGACAGGGAGGTTATTGGAGACAACCAGCACGGATTCATCAAGGGCAAGTTCTGCCTGATCAACCCAGTGGCCTTCTATGATGGATTGACTAATGGATAAAGGAAGGGCTATCGATGTCATCTGTCTGGACTTTTTTAAGGCCTTTTCCGTGCACCCCCAAAACATCCTTCTTTCTAAAGAGATGGATTTGATGGATGGGACTATTTAGTGGATGAGGAACTGGCAGGATGGTTGCATCTAGAGGATAGGGGACAATGGCTCAACGTCCAGACACAGATCAGTGATAAGTGTGTCCCTCAGATGACTGGACACTGTTTTTTATCTTCATCAATGACGTAGACAGTGGCACTGAGTGCACCTTCAGCAAGCTTGCAGAGGACACCAAACACCGAGTGGTGTGGGTGACATGCCTGATGGACAGGATGCCATCCAGAGGTGCCTAGAAAAGTTTGAGAAGTAGGCCCATGTGAACACATGAGGGAACCTCATGTGGCCAAGTACAAGGGTCAGGGCAGCCCCTGGTCTCAGTATAGGCTGGGTGATGGGATTGAGAGCAGCCCTGCCAAGAAGGACTTGGGATTACAGTGGATGAAAAGCTGGACATGAACCAGAAATGTCTGCTCACAGCCCAGAAAGACAACCTGGGCCTATCATTGAATATCACTGAGCTCTAAACCAACACACATAAAAGACATGCACTAGCAAGTAATGAAAACAGTCTGTTCAGAACTGTACATCCAACAAATCCTCAGACCAGAAACACTTTTTAAAAACTACCAGGAGGTAAAAATGTTTCATTTATATAAAGCTCATGTACATTGCTAGCAATTCACAAATTATTATTCATGATTGATCACTTTGGAAGCAAAGAGAAGGGGAATAACCACAAAGATATTACTGTAAAGTCTAGCAGAGTACGCAAGGATAGAAACAATTGAGCAGAACACCACTGCCCTTTGATTGTGCAGACATCACACCAACCCATCTAGAACTAACCAGCAGATAGAACAGATGTTGTTTTTAAACCCTGGTATCATGTATTAAAGAAAAACACTCAAAAAACCAAGATCTTGGATTAAATTATATAGCAGGTATAAAATCAGCAAAGACATAAAATATTTACAACAGCTTTCCTATTTTCAAAGAAGGAGCATTGTGTCTTTGTGACTAAAAAGGGGCAGCATCCTCAAGCACTTTACCCCCCCCCCCAAAAAAAAAAGCAAAGTACTCTAGATTATGCTCAGGTGAAAGCCATCTATGTATCCTTGCTTTAAAAATATAAATACAGAGAGTATGGTGTACATACATTAAAAACAAAACCTCCACTGAAATACACACTTCCCACAACCTCACAAAGATTTGAGAAAAAGATATATATTTCATTTCTTAATAAATCTCTGAAAATCTTGTAGCCTGGAATATGTATAAATCAACAAAAACTTTCTTACCTAGGGCCTCTAGGGCCTTCAAAACGTGCTGATCTGGGAGGATCTGGAAGCAATCCACCTGACCTCACTGGTTTATCCTGCACAACAGGTGTGTGTGTCGAAGACACTGCAGAAGTGCCTTTCAGTTCCCCACACTGCTGTTCAGATGAAATATTTACAGTTTGTTTACTAAGATGACCTTGAGATTTTCCATGGTCAGATGAGCCAAAGGATGAACCTGCTTGAGAATGGTAAGGTGAATAGCTAGTTGAACTAGCTATTTTTGATGCATAGGTACCAGGGGTGGGAAGGAGGGCTGGCCTTGGTGTTTCAGTAGCTTGACTGCTTTGAGAACTGGATCCTGAAGGGACAGAGGAATTGGATAACTGAGAAACAGAAGAGAGAGGCGGGGGAACCAGTGGAGGTGTAGTTGAAGGTAAAGTTGGAGGCATAATAGGAATGCCACCTTGACCAGTTTGGGAATATGGAATAAATGGAGGTGGCAGCGACACATTTGCAGGATATTGATTCTTCAGATTTTGGAGTGAGGTCACTTTTTCCTGCAGATGTGACTGAGTAACCTTCATCTGTTCATCCCATGCTTTCCACTGTTTCTCATACTCTTGAAGCTGGTCTTTGTGAGGGTAGGTTTGAAGCTGATGCTGCCACTGCTGGTTCATTGATCGCTCCCAATCTTTATGAAGCTGCTGGAACTGTTTTTGCTGTGCCTCATAATGTCGCAGCTGCATGTCCACTGACATTGTCTGCAATGAGATGACAAGAACAGGTTCAAAATACCTTAGATAGTCAGTTACTCTCAGAGCCGAGTATTTCAGTATCACTTATCACAATTTCTGATGACTTGGGTGCAAGGTTGAGGAAGAACTACACCAAAACAAAAGTGAACACCAACAGTGACATCTAAAGACATTGTGAAAATTTATATATTTTATGACTATAGTCTATATCTATGTATAGAAGACTTGAACAGGACAGCTGAAGAAACCTATAATCTGTATAAACTGTATTATTACTGCATCCTAACAATGGATAAAGCTCAAATCAATCTTCACATATATACATTATGTGTCTATTTCTCAAGGTTTCAGTTTTTGCTATTAATCTGCTCAGAATTGCCTCAGCTGTCTGCCATTATTTTTCTCTAAGCCTTTGCCAGATCTTATTTGCACAAATGAAGCTTCTTTCAAATTCTGTCTTTCGTTATGTGAGGATATCAGGCTTGATTTTGCCTGAGATTTTTAAAGTTTACCCAAAGAGATTAAAAAAAAACCAAACCAAGAACAAACGCAGACAGCCTAACCTACCAAGAAATGTCTAATGTACAAACTCCACCAACCCAATAAGAGTTGACTCAACTCTCTAATACAATAATCAACTTCTACTTAAAAGCTTAAAGGTTACAAAAGGTTTCAACTGATTACTTGAGTTAAAAATAATGTGAGATACTGATTTTTAAAACTACATTTCCTGTCTATTTTTGTCATCTACATTTATAATTGTACATATTTATTTTTGTAAAATAGAGCAGCTTCCAAATTACTCTGTGAAATCATCTGTTTACATGACTTTTCTGAATTGTTTCTCCAGTGGCAAAACACTCAAAGCTGAGTAAGTTCAATATTGTGTTCAGCTTTGCTCCTGTATCACCTAGGTACATCCGAAAAAATCTCACAAGAAGTGTAAAACATTGTATTTCTCATCCTACTGAAGCTTCATCACCATCTGCCAATGTTTTTTTCATTCTGAAGTTGAGTGACAGTAGGAAAAAATAAACCTCTATAGGTTTATTTATAAACCTTTATAGGTTTATTTATAAACCTCCTTGGGCAGAGGATATAAACCTCTACCCAAGCAGACAAATTAGCCAGACAAATGAGCCAACTATTACAAATTATTCAACTATGTATTTTTCAGCAGAGTGTGAGTGCTGGGTCACCCAGGATGTATATCAAACCACCTCCTTAGTGTCTCACCTCTAAGTGTGGAGGCTGTTGCATGATCTGTTGATACTGCTGTACTATCTGCTGCAGCTGAGCGTGCTTCTGCATTATTCTCTGATATTGGAACCCAACCCGCTGATGGGGGTGCTGCTGCCATTGAGCTGCTGCTGCTTGCAATTGCTGCAATCTCAAATCCTCCTCAGGGTCATCAGGAGGTTCAATATTGAGCTACAGAAAAAGGTAAATACTATAAACAAAGGAAAGTTGCGTCTGTCAGAAAAAAATACACTAGGTCACTACACATTTTACAGGAACTTTCTCACTGTTCCTTACTTTATCACTCTATTTCAGTGTGCCAGCCACCCACAGCTTTTGGAAGGCTGATTTTTATCCCACCTTTTCTGAATGTGAACACATAGTTTCTTAATGTGAACAGTCTAATCTAAAGGCTAGGCTGATGGCAATTAAGTTATTCATACATAAAGAAACTACCTACAGGAAAGAGAGTAATGAAAATCTGTTATCTGCCACTCACAGCAAATGCAATGGGAAACTGGTTTTTCATTATGAGATAAAGTAACTCCAAGTGCATTATTTCTGTCACTTTGTAGGAACCTGCATGCTGTAAGTTAAAGTGGAGCACACACTGTTCAAACATCAATCATGACCTCCATCTATTATACAGTAACTGTTACTGAGCATGCTGATTAAAAAACCTCTGGGCAAAATTCTCAGCTTTCAGACCAACTCTAACACACAGAGAGAAGGGGAGCCAGAATTCACAAAGTGCCAGAGAGAAATTAAAAAATAGTGTCTTAAACATAGCATTCCTCAAGAACTGAGTACCTACCTGGTTTTGCACTTCGATATCATGAGGTGTTCTCACAGACAATGTTGTGGATGGTGCAAGGGAGTCAGCTCAGACTTGCTTGGTGACGTGTGGGTGAATACGTAATTTTATATACAAGAAGTGTATTTTCTAATTGGTGCAGCTTTAGCAAATGTTCTTTTTTAAGACTGCTTCACAACATTTAGTTATTGTTACAAAGTATACAAGATAATTTGATGGCATTAATTTTCCTGGGGTTTTGGCTCAACTAGGACACAAATGGAGTGGCATCACTTTACAAAGCCTTACCTGAGTTTCAGTGGATGTAAGAGAAGACTCCTCTTCTTTGGATGCTGGAGGCAGGGATTCATTAAGAGCAGGAGGTTCAGACTGCTGAGTTGAAGCACTCATTTTCTCTTCTTCAGACTTTGCTCTCTGCTCATCCTTCACTACTGGACTTTTCATCTGCTGCTGTCCCTGAGCATGGGCCTTTGCCCTTTGCTGCAGGCTAAGCAGGTGCTGCTGGTACCAGTATTGCTGCTGTTCCTGTAATAGATGTAGATTTTCTAAGTTTCACAAGAAAAACAATAGAAAATCATTAATGATAGCCATTAGAATCATACTGTAGAAAAGTTTTTAAAACTGTTTTGAGGAAAAACTCACTTCTTCAGCAACAGTATTGCAATGGATGTCAGAAAATTAAATCAAAATTCATAAACCGTTATGTGATGCACAGAACCCACAACAGAATTTACTTTTTACCCCAACAAGCTTACTATTCTCTAACTATAGCAAACAATACTAACAAAAATCTGGAGAACAGGCAATAATAAGCAAAATGACTACAGACAAGCTATAAGTACCATGTTTATTGGTTTTAGAGCTTTTTATAACTAAGAACTACAGTAAAGAGAAAAAGAAGGAAATGTACGGAAGAGATGAAGAGGATGAACAGAGAACACAGATATCAAGTAGACTGAAAATGGCAGCTGAGAAATTGGGGTGAAGATATTTGAACAAAGCTATGGAAAGAAAAAGAAGAATCAGAGCCAGTATATACTGAAGATTATGTATAATCTGAATTCTCATTAATTCTGACTCATTCAACAGCTGAAGAGGGAAGTGGATATGGTTCCATCCCAAAAAAATGATCTGTTTAAGAAATAATAAGCTTTCAGTTTTAAATATTTCAGGGTAGAATTAAGAGTACTCAAGGGAGATGACAGAAGCTTCAAAAAGTAAGCTGCCACTAACATAAAGAACAAGACTAGAGATAAGTATCTCAACACTTAAGCAGTAGTGTCTTAAAGAGGCATGAATAAGAACCAACAGTTCTGTATCTCTCTTCCAATATGAGAAATATCTGTCATCAAATTAATAGAAAGACATCTGTGGGAGGCTACTCTTCACCTGACATGGTCTTGTGCCACCAGAGTCCCTACTAGAGATCTCTCCGAGGGCTAAAATTTTGTGGATTCAAGTCATAGCTCAGAAAAATCTACATAGTTTGAAAATAAATACACCATTTACAGCTAAGGCAGCTCCTGTATCCTAGAAAAGTATTGCTATACCCTTGATTTTTAAGTTGTTCTCTTAACATCTGCTTTTAGTCACCATCAAAGACAGAATGATAAAGTACTCTAATTTTTGGTCTAACCTAGTGCAACCATTCTTGTGCTCTCAATTTCATTACCTCTGAGAATCTGTGACTGATCTCCATTCTTTATACCTTCTGTTCTTCCTTTCCATCCAAGCATGCACAGTTAAGAAAAAACACCTATATAAAGCCCAGTCAGAAAAGAATCCAAAGGTGCAGGCATTTCAAAATAAAAGTGTGACAACATCAAAACAGCAAGTGCTGTCTGATGAGATTTCTCACAAGTTAATCACTCTGCCCATCTTAAATAGGTTTAGAAGAAGAGTAACTTTCTGCTAGAAACCTACCTCATGCTCAGATCAGAAATTATGTTTTCTCTTGGTAAGTAACACAAATATGGAGCTGTATTTTTTTTAAAAATACTTCTGTAACTTGGAAATGAGGTCAATGAAATGAGAGACTATGCTTCACAGACTTTAAATTGATCATGCAACTATTCCTGCCATGAATCTTTTTAACAAGAATATGTCTCAGAAGAGTTCCATAGTTTTGGGTGGAAGATATGCATTTACACTGCAGCACAGACTGTCAGAAACATTCAACAACATGCTGAAATAAGTGCAACTCAAGGGAGGAGCATACTTTCCCAGCTATACAAAGCCTGATTCAATTATCCATCTCAAAAGGCACTCACTATAAGGTGATTTGTCATCATGGTGCTCGGTGCTATGATGGGTGAGCACATGTTCTACTGCCACAAAATTGCTGTCTCCACAGATCCATCTTGTTTCCTCCTCGTTCCACCAACTGGACATAGGGCTAGAACTCATAACATGACATGGGCTTTCCAGAGCTATGGTAATATAATTACCTATTATTTTCAGCAGATGAGTCTGTGACATCTATTACTGTGCTATCTGGAAAGTATAAGAAAAGCAGAAAGGTAGATCTTTACAGCTTAGTTGTAACAAAACAGAAGTGCTAGTGTAGAAAATTTTTCATGATGAAGAATTCAGTTATTGAGTGCTCACTTCCTCACAATGACTTGTCATTCAACTGGACTTGTCATCTTTCAAGTCCAATTATAATCCTTTAGCCCAAGGAAAACACGAGCATCAACAGAGGCCTTTTCCATCTCTGGCTGACCAAGAGACAATGCCTGTTGCATTTTACAGGAACATGAAACCACCACTATCAGCTCCTGGCCACAGGACATAGCACCAAATAAGTTAATGTGAAGTCCACACCAAAGGACTACTCCAAAGCTAATACAGGTGACCTTAGGCCATAACATAATACCTGTTTTGGGGGACACTATGTCCTTTCCAGGTGAAAACTGCAAAAGAATGATTTAGCACCTTCTACAAAACAAAGGGGCTGTTTAAAGAGAGCAGCAGTCTGTTAAATGGTGAGGTTGTAAAGCTGAGGTAGCTTTAACAGATGTAGATTAATGCATATTTATGGGTACAGATATACCCATGCATCCTTGGAGTAGGAAGAGCATTGCCAGCAGGTTGAGGGAGGTGATCCTGTCCCTCTGTTCAGCCCTAGTGAGGCCACACCTGGAGTGCTGTGTCCAGTTCTGGGCTCCTCAACACAAGAGAGACTTGAACTCCTGGAACAAGTCCAGTGGAGGGCAATGAAGATGCCAAGGGTGTGGAGCATCTCTCTCTAATAAGAACAGGCTGAGGGAGCTGGGACTGTTGAGCCATGAGAAGACAACTGAGAGGGGACCTTGTCAATGTACAAAAGTATCTAAAGGGAGGGTGCCAAGGCTCTTGGTGGTGCCAAGGGACAAGGAAAGGGGCAATGGGCAGAAACTGATGCACAGGAAGTTCCACCTGAATATGAGATTTTTTACATGCAGGTGACTGAGCACTGTATCAGATTGCCCAGAGAGACTGTGGAGTCTCTCACTGAAGATATTCAAGAACTGTTTGGAATACACAACTCTGTGCCATGTGCTCTGGGATGAACCTCCTTGAGCGGGGAGGTTGAACCAGATGACCCTCTCTGCTCCCTTCCAACCTTACCCAGTCTGTGATATGGTAAACAAATAGCAGCACACATTACCCAAATATCAGAGGGAACATTAAGGAAATACCACAGTTATTTTAACCAGATTTGACAAGAATCCAGCAATTTAATCAAACTATATACCCACGGAAGAAACTACACTAAGCTCATGATACTGTCAAGGCAAAGAACAGTATCTTAGACTGCAAAGGAAAATAATAAAACACCAACTCATAGCAAATTGCATAATATCTTCTGAGTTAAGAGAAAAACACTGATATATTCGTCTGCAGCCACTGTTACTGTGGGATGAGGAACAGAAATAATTGCTTTCAATTGCCAGTTTAAACAACAGCTTAATAGGATACTACAATGACAAATTACGCTGTTTCCTCGCTTGGCTTTTCAGATTACTAAGAGGCATGAAAGTATCACTACACTTAGCTTTCCTATTCCTTATAGTGTAAAAACTTGTTACTCCAAATCTTGTCTGATTTTACAGCCTAAGATAGCCAAAATTATATCAGTCTGTTATAACAAAGTTATGACCAGGAAAATATATTCCTTTTGAATTAACACTGAACTGTGAATGAGAGCAAGCAAACTACTCAAAATAGAAGCTGTTTGTATAAACACTCATAAACCAGACAATGTAAACTTCAGCACTGTTCTGCTGCTTCCATGTGTGCACCACAATAAAGTATTATTTGCAACTCTTCTGGAGATATTTTATCACTGAGCTCAATAATTTAAGAAGACAACAAGCTGACTCAATACCAAATTAACACCACTTTCTACACATGACTTTTTGAGGTTTTGCTTTTGTCATTAAAAAATTAAATCTTGTTGTTACCACTGTAAAAGATCAATTAGTACTGTCCAAAACCTTCATAAAAGTAAGTGAAATGAACTGAAAGCACTACTTTGCCAGGCAGTAGTTATATGGTACAAATGTAAAAATGGCATATTCCAGCAATCAGCAAATTTAAAGTGTCAGTGACTTCAATATGACACAATAGGATTTTTGCAAACCTAGCTTCAAATCAGAACCCTAAGATCAATTTACCAAAAAAACAGATTTAAATAAAGGAATTTCAAAGAATGCAGTTCAATTTTGTTCTTGCAGGTGGATGCCAATAACATAACTCTAAACCCATGCAAAAGCCTCAGTGAATCTGCCTGACCATGTACACAGCTGAGAGCCTCACAACACTCGTGCCTCGCTGTGCATGCTGAACCTCAAGCCTGGATTGTCCCTGACAATGCAGATGAATGGTCCCATCAAGTTCACTGGAACTGGTCTCATTTAGGAAGTGAAGCACACAAACATTTTGCAGCATTTTGGCCCTAGTGTACACATAAAAATCACACAGCTATAACATTTTTCACTTCAAGGCATTGCAGAACATTTCCCTCCAATGCCCTATGGAATTTTATACTGGAAGATCAAACACATGTAGCACAAAACGGGGGATTAAGTGTAAGTAGAGGGCAAGTACGTACTGCAACAGAAACATTTTTGCAGCTTTAACTGTGTGTGCTAAGACTAAATAGTCACCATTCTACACTGATCAGGCAGACAACTGCAACTCAACACTTTAAAAGCAAGTGACATCCTGCAACCTGCAAGAAGGAAACAGACTGCTGCATCTCACAACTGGCCAGACAAAGCCAACAGGGGTTAGGGGCGGGTCACACACACGCTGTACTTTGGAATACATTCTCCAGAGACTAAAGCACGCTCAAGAAAATTAAAGCCAGCCAGGATTTACATTTTTCCCTAAACAATTTTTCTCGGGAAATGACAATTTGTTGCATCCCTACCAACCTACCACCAACCTACCAACACCACTGGATAAATCAGTCTTTATGAAGGTTCCCCTGAGCTGTGCCATTGTCACACTTCCACGGATTGCGTCCAAATCCTTTCAATATTATGCAAATACGGTGTGTTTATTAACTGCCCTTACTCGGGGACCTTTGCAACACTCAGTACCCAGCGGCTCATCGCCACCGCTGCCAGCCGGGCGGCCTTACCTGGGGAGTCATGGTGGAGGGGTCCGGCTGCTCCGTGCCACCGCCCTCCTTGGCGGCACCTTGCGCGGCCTCCGGCGGGGCAGCGGCGGGCGGGGGCAGGGACGTCTGGGGCGGGGGGAAATGAGCCTGCGATGGCTTCACCGGGGGAGGGATGGAGGGGGCCAGGGCGGGCTGGGAAGGAGAGGCCTGGGAGGAGAGCAGGTAGGGCTGGGCATGTGCCATGTAGCCCTGGGCAGGAGGCGGCAGGTAGGGCTGGGAGGCGGTGGCCGTCGGGGGCTCCAGGTAGGAGGGCGGGGGCTCGGAGAAGGAGGGGGGCGGCTGGGAGGGCTGCGCCCGGGGCAGGTAGGGCTGGAGCGGCGGGGACTGGGCGGGGGGCGGCTGGGCGGGGGGCAGGTAAGGCTCGGTCTGGGGTGGCGGCAGGTAGGGCTGGGCGGGGGGCAGGTAGGGCTGGGCGCCGGGCTGCGGGGACTGCGGCGGCGAGGACAGCTCCATGTCCATGGGCACCGGCTCGGCGGGCACCGGCTCGCCCCAGTCGCCGTGCCCGCCCGGCGGCTCCTGCCCGTCACGGTCCCGGGCCGCGGGGGGCGGCTTGCGCGGCGGCGGCTCACGGTGGCCGTACTGCTTCTGGTAGCTCCGGACCGGCGGCGGCACTGGCGGCACCGGCGGCTGCTGCTGCCAGTCGGTGAAGGAGCCGGGCAGCGGCGGCGGTGGCAGCCCCGGCGGGGGCGGGCCTGGCGGCGGCGGGGGACCCAAGAGTACGGACTGCAGCTGCTTCTGGTGCATCTGCTGGAGCTGCTGCAGCTGGGCCAGGTGCTGCTCCTGCAGGCTCAGGAACCCCGAGGAACCGGCGGGCGGCGGCGGCGCGGCGGCGGGGGGCGCGGGCCCCGGCGGCGGGTAGCTGGGGAGCGGCATCGGCGGAACGGCGGGAGGCGGCACGCTGGGGGGAGGGATGGGCAGCGGCGGGGGCGGGATGGAGGTGGGGGGCGGCGGGTAGTGCCCGGCCGCCCCGTACAAGCCCCAGGCCGGGTACATGGCGGAGCGCGGAGCGGACACAGGCCGCGGCGGCGGGCGGCGCACGGCGCCTGCGCGGTGAGGCCCCACCCCCGCCGGGCAGTCGAGCGTGAGCGCCGCGCCAGAGCGCCCCGCTGGGCGGGTGGCAGCGCCGCCTGGCGGACAGCTGCCTGCAGCGCGGGGCCGAGGCGAGTCCGGAGCGACAGACAGACAAACAGACAGACAGACAGACAGACAGACAGACAGATATCGCGCCCGCCCCGCTCCCCGGGGCAGGAGGCGGGACGAGGCTGGCCACACACGGGAGCCGCAGCGGGCCCAGCGCCGGGGCTTCCGTTGTGTGTAGGGTGCCGCCAGGCGCTCCGCAAGCTAGGCTGTGTACAGCGGGCCCGGCGCTCCCGAGGGCCGTGCTGTCCCTGGGGCGGCGATGTAGGTGCCCTCGGTTTGAAGCACGAGTTAAACATACAAATTTGTTCTGCGGGCACTTAGCAATGACTTATGCAGAGTGCTGAACGCCTGTGGCAGGGCAGAGGAGTGTGTGTGTGTGAATTCCAGTAGCTGGGCAGTGGAGCCTGGCAGCTGCGAGTCCGCAGCACAGCACCCCGGCGGTGCCTCCGCTCCGTCTCCTCTGCAAGCACAGGAACCCTGAGCAATTTTTGTTATGTTCAGTCTCTAGTGCATGCCTGCTGAATCAAGGATCCCTGGCCAGTGGAGAAAGGTGTGGAGGAAAGGTCCTAAAACTTTTCAGTCGGGAGAAATATCAAGAAAATCACATTGTTAGGTAGAGAAGAAGATTTATCCTCTCTGGTGGAAAAGCTAGATTTTATGTTCATTTGTTGTTAAATTTCAGGACATCCACAGAGGAGACACACCATGAATCTACAAGAAAATATTTGACTAAATTCAACTGAGATGCAAATCTTGAAGAAAACTATCTTAATTTAATACTTCTAGAACTGCCTTTTCTATTCTTTAGTACCCCTTCTTTTCATTTAGAGGTGATTATTGATCCTTTTCTGTTTAGGATGGTCTGTTTAGATTTCTCTTGCAGTGAATATGACTTTCAGATAGCATTTGTATTTTTAGCATCTACTGTTCATTATATACCTATACTTAGCATTTATATACCTGAGTTCTATGGCCAGTTTACTCACTAAGTTTTTGAAACCCTGTCCTTCCAATATAGGCAATTTCTGTTGCAAACATCCTTTAATTTATCCTCCTGATCTATTCACTCTACGTGAGTTCTCTTGTGATCAGCTTACTAACAGTTATTTCCTGCAGGCAGGTCTCTCCTACTATTTTTGCTGTTTGTTGTAGTTACTCAATATTGTCAAGAGACTTGTTACTTCCCTTATGAGGGAATATGTGTACCTAAACACTTTCAGGGCAATTGCTTTCCAGCCTACATTGTGGAAGCCAAAATGTAACATCCAAATAATGTGACAGATGCTTTTTCAATATTCAAATTGGTTTGGGTTGCAGTACAGTTGATTCCCACCAGACAAGATAAACTACTTTACCCAATCTACCAAAAAAGCAACCCTCTTAAGTTCACATTATACCCTCTGATTCTTCTATTCAGAATATGTTTTATTCTTTTATTCTGTTCAGTCTGTAACATTAATGGGTGCCAATATGTTGGTTTGAGCTAATTTTTTAAAAACAGCTCATGTTCTTCCTGCTTGTAAACACTATTATACCACATTTTGTTACCACTCAATTAACCAGTGTCATATCTTGGATCAGCAGCTTAAATTTCTTCATCTAGTAAGGCTGTAGTAATCTTAAACCTTCTGGTGGCTCCAGAAAGGAATAGAAATTATTTTCTACCATTCTTTGCATATATTCAGATTTTCTTTATGTGGTGTTCCTGTATGTTCTCTGTCTTCTGAAGCTATGGGAACCTGCTACAGCAGGAGACAGGACATTAGCAGGGAGGCTGAATTCCCTAATTACTAAGAAACACTGCAAGCATCTGATATCTAAGTCCTGTGCAGGTTTAAACCAACTACCAGAGTTGAGTCAGGAAGGAATTTCTCTTCTGGTTTGGACTGACAGAGTTCTGTATTTGTAGGAACATCAAAATATTCTAGTTTACCAAAGTCCTTCCTGTGACAATGATCTTTCCTCCTCTGACACACTGTAAATTGGATTGGACGCTCGGATGCCATTGTGTGTGTGGAGTAAACATTTTCCTCTGAACCTGTTTGCTACACAGGTTGTCTGGCATTGCAGAAGTACCTGATCATTCAGGTGGTCCTCTCCTGTCTTATTTATCTTCTGACCAGGCTCTTTGAGTTAATAGCCAAGCTTTTTGTCTTACCAATTATACTCAATTAATGAAAATTTCCTGATGGGTGTGCTTACTGCCAATACTTTCTTCTGCTCATCCTCCAACCCTCCTAACACATCTTTAGCAATTGCCTTATACCTATTCCAGATTCCTCCTCCTTTTACTAAAACAAGGCAGAGTAAAAAGAATAAAAGATTTCAGTAAATGAGCACATTTGGTTTGATGCCTACCCACTGTTTGTGCTAAATACATATATTTTCATGAAGTCCCTGCAAAAGGCATTCTGCTGGCAGGTATATGTTCCCCAAATTCATCAGGCTGCTATGCCTTTGACCTCTTCTGTGCCAGAGAGACTGTTTTCAAATGTTACCCTAAGTGTCCATTCCTTTCTTCTTTCTTCTCCAGTCCCCTTCCATTTAGATTAATTCAAATGAATTAATTTGCACTGGAACAATTCTAGTTAACTACTGACTCAAAGAAGTCTTTCAAAACTAGAATTATTCTGAAAAGCAATTTACAGAGATCTAATACTACAACTGTTTCTCAGTCCTCACTTGACTAAACATGAGCTTCAATTGTTCATGACAATACTTTATCATTAGCTTAAAGAAATATGGATTGGATTGAGAGAACAAAACTAAGGATATTATTTTTGAAACGTATGTACTATATACTAACTGTAAAATCTCTCCATTGTTGGCTACTTTCCTCCTGGCTAGACGTGGAGAAAATTAATTTTGATTGTAATAGCCTGGAAGGGGCTAAATTTTCAAAGTGTCAGTATGCTGTTATTTCAGGGATGTTTAATAGGTGAGCCTGCAACAAGCAAAGAGATAGCATGAGAGGAAGGCCTGATGTGTTCCCCAAGTTTCCTGCAGTATGGTGCAGTCAAGGAAGTTTCCTTTCTGTAGAGGTATGGTGCTAGTCAAGGAAGTTACCGGGATGTCAGAGCATTTCCCAGAGACAGAAAATTATCTTCACTGCATGCTGTCCAGCATACAGACAGCTAAGTTTAGCTATTATAGAATTGTTAAGGTTGGAGAAGACCTCCAAGGTCATAGAGTCCAACCATCAACACAGCACTGCCTAATCCACCACTAAACCATGTCTCTAAGCACCACATCCACACTTTAACACTTCCAGGCCCAGTGATTCTACCACTTCCCTAGGCAGCCTGCTCCAATGTTTGACCACCTTTTCAGTGAAGCATTTTTTCCCAATATCCAGTCTTCACATGGCACAACTTGAGGCCATTTCCTCTTATCCTGTCACCTGTTATCTGGGAGAAGAGACTGATGCCTGTCGCGGACAACTTTTATGAAAAATCCTTTCCTTAGGATTTTTTCCTTCTGAGAAGCTGAGAGGCTTCAGGAACAAAATGTAAACAATTATTATCTGCTGCTGTGGAATGCAACAGGTAGATCTGTGATTGGTCTCATGTGGTTGTTTGTAATTAATGGCCAATCATAGCCCAGCTGGCTTGGACACAGAGCCCGAGCCACAAACCTTTGTTATCATTCTTTTTTTCCCTATTCTTAGCGAGCCTTCTGATGAAACCTTTTCTTCTATTCTTTTAGTATAGTTTTAATGTAATATATATATATCATAAAATAATAAATCAAGCCTTCTGAAACATGGAGTCAGATCCTTTGTCTCTTCCCTCATCCAAGAACCCCTGTGAACACCGTCACAGATGCCCACCTGGCTACACCCTGCTTTCTGGTAGTTGTAGTGATAAGGTCTCCCCTGAGCCTTCTTTTCTCCAGACTAAATGCCAGCTCCCTCAGTTGCTTCTCATCAGACTTGTGCTCCAGGCCCTTCCCCAGCTCCACTGCCCTTCTTTGGACATGCTCCAGCACCTCAATGTCTTGTCTTGTGATGAGGGACCCAGAACTAAACACAGGACTCAAGGTGCAGCCTCACCAGCACCAAGTACAGGGGGAGGATCACCTCCCTAGTCCTGCTGGCCACATTATTTCTGATACAGGCAAGGATGCTGTTGGCCTTTGTGGCCACCTCTACAGCCAAACCAGTATAAGGGACTACAGGACAAAGCTCTTAAGGTTTGGAAATTTTCTTAATTATAGCAAGAATATAAATTGTAATATATGGTAGAGATAATTCATGCTATATATGTGTGTATAAAATATTGTGAAACTCCAAAGTTATGTCTTTTGACCACTCTGGCTGGGGCAGTCTCATTCCTATTTGACTAGTTCCCAGACAACATCAAGATAATATCATGCCTGTTAACCTGTTGATGTATGAATGGGACTGTCCTGGGCTATGATTGTCACGCTATCGTGATGGTTGGAATGTCTCAGCTACTCACAAGATCTGCACCTGAGATGATTACATCTGCTATGCTCAGGAACTGGTATCACTTGTATTCACACATGTGAATACAAACTCTGCCTGGATGCTCATTTGTCTGGATCTCCGGACTCGTCTTTGTTCCTGCACATGTATGGATCCAGTTCTACATGTGAAGAGATACAAAGAAAACGTGTGGTCATCCCTGCCTCAGGCAGAACAAACTGTATGTAAGCTGGCTGCTGGAAGCACTCGGTGTGAGCCCCTGGGGACACGCTGTCACTTTGTCAGTGGACCCTAGTTCACCCAGCGCCTGCACGGGCTGACGCTGTCTTGGCTGTGGTGGTTCTTTTTCAAAATTCTATTTTTTTGTTATCGATCCGATAAATCTTTGTTAAATTTTTCATAAATTTGGCTACCGATTTGATAATTTATAACATAAATTTTCAGTCTTCTTCTGCACTATAGATCCAGCATTTTGGCCAGGAAGTGTGCTTTGGCATGTTGGCTCCTGGTGACCCTCTCCTCACCACACAGCAGAGATTGAAGAGCAAATTATATTGCTAAAAATGAAGGAATAATGGAGGAGCTATGAGAATGCTGAGTTACGGCTTTGAAATACTTTTTCCCCTACATTTCTTCATGTGGTTTAATAATTTCTTTTCCCTCCCTCCCTGACCACTTCCTTCCCTGCAGCAAATTCTGCAGGTCTCTGGAAGACTCTTTATCTGCAACTATTGTTATTATTCCTCCACAACGACAGTGCTCCCAGCCCACAATAATACCTTTGCCCATTAGACACTTTCTTTCTTTGTCCCTGATACATAACAAAAGTCATAAGGCTTTGAGGTGCATAGGACCCAAACAAATAGGAGTGAAAGACTTGTCCTGACCCAACCCTGCCCTGCCCTCCACCACTCTAAATGTAAGGAAAGGACTGGGCTGCCAGCTAACCAAGGACAGAAAGAGCAGTCTGAGAGGACACTTAAACTTCATTCACTGTGCAGTTGAATAAAAGCCCATCAATTCTGAATTAAAATCTAGACTGCTTGTCCAGAGTAAACCACCAACTGGTGCAGATCTGATGTCTTTTCTGCAGAATGCAGATTCTGATTTGACTGAACAGGTGTGAGGTAGCTTCCCAAAGGAATACCTGTCCCAGGTATACTCCAGGTGCAGCAGTAAGAAACTTAAAATCTCTTGTGGTTTCATTCTCAGTCAGTTACATCATCAATATTTAATTCAGAATGCTGAAATCATGTTTTCCAATGGTCCTGATGCAGAGCTAGGCACATTCTTGGTCGTGCTGCCCTCTGTTTCCCATATGCTTCTCCCAGCTGTAGGTAATCAAACCAAGGCAGAGGACAGATGAATAAAACCAGACTCTTCAAAATAGCTTTTTCTTAGAAAAACAAGGTTAAGAAGTCAGTTTGGTGTTATCCACAGTCCTATGAGCAGAGTTCCAACAAAAGAAGAAAGGAGGAGGGTAGAATCAGAAGGACCCTTGTCCTGGCTCACAGTCTGGGCATTGATGGCTTGGCTGGACAGGTTAGAATCGAGGCGCTCCATAATCATCTGGCATCCTCTCAATATTGTACCTGAGAAAGAAGGAAAACTTATGAAAACAACCTACTCTATATTGTTCCCCTCCCCACTGTGGTGGTGTGTCTATCCCCTCTTCCTCCTCAGGGCTGCACTACCACCTCAGGGATCCCTGCTAAGCCTTGACCTTTGAGTAATGAGTTAGGTGGTGAAGCATCCCTTGAGCATACCAGGAAGCCTTGCATGACTAAGGTCAGAGAACAGCACTGACTGCACTGGGAACTCCTGTTGCTGGTCTATGGTGAAGGATGAGATTGCCAGTCATCCTCTGACAATCCTATCTAAGTCATGGCCTGAGTGGAATGGTACCAATGTTACCAGAGTTTTGGAAATTCTAGTAGTTACCAATCTGGATTATGGCCAAGGTGTAAAATTTATGCCTGACTAAAAGCAATCATCTTGTGACCCTATAAGCAGTAGTCTTAAGTGAGGCCCTTAGAGCTTTCCTGGACTGCCATGGGCTGCACCAGCACCTCTCTCTGAGCAGAAAGCCTCTTGGGCTCAAGGCTGAGATGGCTGAAGGACCATCACTCAAGCCCTGCCTGTTGAGAAATGCAGAGACATTCCATGTTTCTCACTGAAGCTGAGAGGAATTTTTAACTGGTACCTTTATACATTTACCTATACGTCTATGTCAGTGTGCAAGCATGTGAATTAGCTGAAATAATTTTACTGAGTATAGTATGAATATTGCTTCCTGAAAATATAATTAAGTCACTGTTATAATTGTAGTAAACCATACTGAATCACTTTATAAATGTTAAATTAGTCAATGTTTAAGTGCTTCCAAAATCTAATTAAGACAGAGACTGTTGACCAAGTCTGAGACTAAGATTGGATGTAGCTGCACCTGGATTCCATCAGGAGTTTGGAAAGCAAGGCAATCCTTACAGAACCTTGTGACTCAATGGGAGGGTCATCCTTTGCATTTCTGGTCTCCATCCACAACATTCTAAAGTGATTTTAAGTCAATTTTCCTTTGTATGTTTCATCCATGTAATGATAGAATTTGCTATTAAACTCTGTTAAAGTCACACTGCTACAAGCTTATATTAAAAGCTGCTTTTGCTAGTGTACCTTTGACAGTGATTCTTCAAGTGAACTAAAGCATTCATTTGTGACACCCATGCAGCAACAGGCATACAGGTAAACTGAAGAGTCAATTGTTGCATTTCTATCTGCAGCTCAGATCCCCAGGAAGAAAATTACTACTTCCAAAAGTAAAAAGTCTTCATAAGGTTGCTGTTATTCTTCACCTTAAACTCAGCAATCAGACATCTCAAAAATAGAGAAGGAAAAAACCCTGCAGTTTTGTAAGATTTGATTTTAGAATTTAAGAGCAGATCACCACAGAAAATAAATGTTTAGACATTCAACTTATAATTCACAGAATCATTTAGATTGGAAAAGACCTCCAAGATCACTGAGTCGGGCCTTTGGCTGAATATCACCTTGAGAATTAGACCATGGCACTAAGTGCCATGTACAGTTATTTCTTGAACACCCCCAGGGATGGTGACTCCATCACCATCCTTGGCAGCCTTTTCCAAAAGTTCATGGCCACAGTGAATAAGAAGAAAAGGTGCTTTGAGAGAAAAATATTTTGAGCCACATTCTAATTATAGATTAGTTAAAACTTTACATATCTATAGCAATCAAGCTCCTGATTTCCAACATGCTTCACTAGTATCCTTCTGAGTTGGTTTGGTTTTTAGTTAAGAAGCAAATTCAGTCTCTTAGCTGAGGGTACACAAAGCTACCAAACAGAATATGGAACAGGAATGGTGCTTTTCTTCAAGAGCCTGTAGAAAGCATTTGCCTGGTAGTCCTGCTGCTGCTGGTAAGAAAAACTGATCTATGGAAACACTGGCCTTAAGGAAACTACTGCTTCAGGTAAAGACAAGTGAACATGTAGACTGCAATAAAAATGGGTCTGTGACCAGTCTCTTCCCAGCAGTAGCTGTACTTCAACTTCTTTGTAAACACCAGGCCCTTTACTGCAGCCTGCACTACAGACAATGAAGGAGAGAAGTACATGGTGACAGAGCCCCTGTCAGACAAGGATTGCATTGGGCAGAATTCCTCCCTGTCAGGGGGCCCTTACCTGTGCCTGGAAATATACATTATGGGCACTCCAGGGATTTTTCGTATTCTCCGCTTGAGCTCTTTATCCACTGTGGCCACAATGTAACATTTGTGCTGCAAAAAACCAGAAGGCAAGTCAGATTCAACACCAGTGAACCTCAGAAAGGAGTCATGGCTGACCAAACGTTCCTATTCAGTGAGCTCACTGAACACAAGGAGTCTGAGAGTCCTTAGCAAGGCATTACCAGGACTTGTACAGAATTCCACAGCAGACTAATAACGTCCTGCCCACCAAAATAGACTCAAGAAATCTCTGAAACTCTGTCCAGCCTTTCGAGCTGACAGCTTTCCCATCCTAAGTGCTTCCTGATGCTGTCCTATACAACAAGAATGCTCAGGGAAGATAATACCTTGCATAAAATAAAGTTGTGTTAGAACTGAAAATGCCCCTTGGTGAGATTTTATAGTTACTCTGTGGGAAATTTAAGTCAGTCAGTAATTAGGAGGGTTCAGGAATTTTTTGGAATGTTAGAACAGTATAGAAAATGTCAGGAGGGGAATACCTGAGTGACCCTCTGCACCAAGCAGTCGTCGGCGTAGGTTCCTTTGTGCATACATGGCAAGCGTTCAAACCGAGGGTCCTTGGCAATTCTGTGGGGACATAAAAAGCAGCATCACAGCAATCAGACCAGAGAGTACAGTAACACAGTATGGAGGAACAAGAACACCCCTTTCTGTGATATACAGAACATTGTTCTCAAAATAAGGGATGAAGGGATGGAGTAAATGGTAGACAAAGGTCAAGTGAAATGACCTGCAAAAAAAAAAATGCAATTTGTCTAGTTATTATAAGTTAAGTATTTCTTAGTACCAAGTTCAGGACCCTGCAACAGCCTAACCACCCTCTAGTGCAGAAGCACCAGTCACAGCAAGTGTTTTTCGTTTATTTATATTAAAGCATTAAGTTCTAGAAACAGAGAAGAACACCCTGCACCTACCTTAATGCCACACGGTACTTCTGTCCTAACTTCTCAATTTCACCCATTACACAATCTGTGATACATGGAATACCTAAATGCAAAAAAAAAAACCTCACATTAAAACAAAGCAGTATTTATTCCCAGACCCCTACAAACTGCCCACATGCCCCACAAACATCATGGAACTCCATAATGTATTACTTACAGTGTCAACTGATAATGTTGCAAGGTGATAAAATGTAGAGCCACCAAGTTTAACCATGCCATGGTAATTTTAGATTTTTAAGCTATTAGTACTCTACACCTTTGCTGAGATTAGCATTTTAAAAATGTTACTTGACTGAAACCAGAGACATTGCCAGGGTTACCACAGCTCCACGACTATAGCACATATTCTTTTTGCAAGATTTCTGTAATTTTCAGCCAGTGGCATGAGGCTGACAAAGCACATTACGAGCACACTGGCACTGCGTGGTCTGAAGAAGCTATGAGTGGGGCAGAAACTCACACTTGGCATAGAGACAGTCCATCATCGACTGCACTAGGTCCAGTTTGGCCTTGATGGAGAAGTTGATGAAGTTAGTGTCAACCAGGATGTGGTAAGGGGGGCCCAGCTGTGTATTATATTGGAAGAACAAGCAAGAAGGATGCTGGGGCCTGCCATGAAGACAAAGAATTAAAATCAGTTAATTGCATTTAACATCACATCCAATCTTACAACTTGCATAGAATGAAAGAAGGGTAATGAGCAGAAAAACCCATCAGGCCTCCTGCTGCCTCCAAAGCACAATCCTTCGGTTTGGGGCACCACTTCTTCAGACAGTATCGCTCCAGCCTGCAGCACGGCCCTCCCTCCCTTCCTCCCTTCCTTCCTTCCTTCTCTCCCTCTCCAGTGCCTCGGCAGCACTTACACCTCCCGCTCTTTGATGGCACTCGGGTCCTCCTTCTTCTTCACAGGGGCTTTTGCGCGATCCTTCTCTTTACTGCAAACAAACACAGACATTACTGGGGTACAGGGATGAGGAAGAGCTACCGGCGGCCGAGAGACCTGGGCCGGGACCTCCTCCCGAGCAGGACACGAGGGCGCTCCGGGGCCCGGGCCCAGCCGCAGCCGCACTCACAGGCGCTCGTCCCGGAGGCTGATCATGCGCTTCATGACCGCGTACTTCCGCGCCTTCTTCTGCTTCCCCTGCAAGGACACGGACACACAGCCGCGATCAGCTAAGGAGAGACCCGATCCCAGCCGGAGCCCGCTCCCCAGCCCGCTCCCGGCTCACCATGTCGACCCTGCCGGTCCCGCCGCCGCCGTGTCCCTGGTGCGTCACCGGCCCCGCCCCGGAGCGCGTCACCTCCGGCTGCCAGCGCCGGGCAGCGGCGGCGCGGGGCGGCGACAGCGGGTTCGCGGCCGCCGTCGGAGAGCACGGTAACAGCGGTGTCGCGTTCCCTCCCCGCCACCTCGGGTCCCGGCGCGGGGAACGGGCTCCCGGGGCGGGGGAGCTGCAGCCGCAGCCCTGCCGCCCCGCCGTGACGGGCGTCCCCCGGGGCGACGGCCCCGCTGCCGGCCCGGAGCACCCGCGCTCGGCCTGGTACAGCTGCGGCGGGGTCCCGGCGCGGTCGGCGCGGGATGGCTCCGGGAGGGACGCGGCGGGGCCGGGGCTCCCGGCGAGCGGGAAGGGCCGGCTCTGCCTGCCCGGCGGCGGCCTCCGGCTCCTCGCTTCGGCTCAGCCCGGCCGTCTGCGCGGCGCTGCGGGTACCGGGGCACGCCGGTAGATGCGGGAGAGCTGTCGCCCCTGGAAGGGCCGTGGGGATTGGTGGCCCCGCCGAGCCCGCCGCTGCTGCGGGCTGGACGGGGAACCGCAGCACACCAATCGCCCTCCTCCCCATCGTGCTCTCTGTTCAGCAGAGCCGGGACGGTACGGAGGTCTTCAGCCCACCCACCTGAGCTTGCTGGACTGTTTTGGTTTTTTAAGAGTTAATGTAGTAGTGGTGTTGTCGCGTTCTAGTTCATGAACTTCTTAATGAAAAGCAGTGGGTTGTCATCATCTTTAGATCTTACCTATATTTGTGATCAGAAGTCTTAGCGAATGAGCTTAATTTTAGCTGTACTTTATGCAGCCATAATGGTGTAGTCTGCAAACTGTCTTTTCTGCACACGAATGGAAATGTTCTTCAAGTTCTCAGGCCGGGTCGGGGTACTTGATTTCTTGTGCCCTGTGCAGGGAAGGGAGAAGGAAAGGCCTTTCTCATGAAAGCTTCTGGGATTAGTGAGATCTTGTAGCTGTTGGTATCTTCCAAATACAATCGGTTTTAGCTGGTGTGCTGGTCAGAAAAAGCAGCCAATGAGGAATCAATCAGGATTTTTTTCTCTCAGGAGTGGTGACCTCTGTAGAACTGTGACTGATGCTCTGACAATGAGAAAGAAAACGAGACTGAAAGAAATACTGTATTTATTAGGAAAACCACAGCTGAGCTTTCCACCTGAGTGATCATACATAGCTTAACTGTTGGTTGAAGAAATGCAGTTGGTAGAGCTCACATGATGCTGTTCAAGTGACCCTCACTGGTTTGGGAAGAGAAATAATTGAGGAAGAAAGGGGATGATCTGCTTTCCCCACCGATGTGCAGCACGGCAAGTGGCTGAATTTTGTCCTGGCTCAGGAAGCAGATTTGGTGTCAGGATGAGACTGGCCTGAAAGTTGCCATCTGGCTGGCTTGCTGTGTTTGAGGAGGACAGGAGAAGCTGACAGCACTGCTGGTGGTTCATTTGCAATGAAAAGGCCTTAGACTTAAGCAGTTGACAGAAGTCTCTTTTTTATTTGTTTGTTTTCCTGTTGCCACTGTTTTATATAGCTTGTATGTAAATGCATATGACAAATTCCATCCCTAATAAGAGAATGACTGTTTTGTGTAGACACTGACCATAGATGCAGCTTTTGTCCTTGACAGCTGATACTGGATCCTGCTTAGTGCTTTTTGTGCTGACTTTTCAGTTTTCTGTGAATGTATTTTAAAGTTAGGTTCTCACGGGCATTCCTGTTTGTTGGTTTGTGCTTGCTTTACTTAGTGTAAGAAAATACAGTCTCCTTCACTAGAGAATACTCCTCTGTGCGTGGCATGAGACAGACATGCCATTTGTGGTAGACATTTGTGCACATGGATTGAGAGAGATTCTGCACAGAGATAAAGGGTTCTCTTACCTTGATTGGATGAGGTAGTATTAACCTGCAAAAAGGCTTTAAAACAAAATTAAAGGTTTGTTGTTAAGAGAAGAATGGCAATTTATCAGTACACCAAATAAAACCAAGAGGCACAGCAGATTTCCTAGGAGCTCAGTATATCTGTTCTGTATATCATGCTCCTAGCTGGTTTTGTTGCTGTAGCCACATGAATGTGCCATTACTATGTCACAGTTCTTCTTGTGTGTGTTACACTTGTGCTTCCTTCTGGAGCTCTGCACTGTGTTCCTCTGGCCTCAACTGCAGCAGTAACACAAACTAAATGTATTCCCATTGCTGAACTTCCTTTCCTTGCTGACCTGAAGCAGCAATGGCACTAATGCAGTTTGTTTTATGATTCCATGCTGTCTACCCTGATTATGTCAGTACCTCTCCCTGAGTCAAACGAAGGTGAAACTTTCAAATCCCCATTTTCCCTGCAGGTGGCAGGAGACCATCGCTTGCTCTGTCCTTGGATCAAGATTACTAAGACCTGTTGGATAATTCAGCACCTTTTTTTCCATCCTAGCTATGATGGCACCTTACATTGCCACTTTTCAGAATTTATTTCCCGATTTTTACCCAGTAGTTCTTAGCACAGATACTGTTTTAATTCACATCTGCATTCTGTTGAGTGAGTGGCAGTGTATCTTGGATACCACCCACTTGCAGCTAGGTTCTTTACCTCAATGTATTCCAGCTGCAAGAGCACCCTTAGAGCTGCTGGCAGTGAGTAAGCTGGAAGGAAGTTGATTGTATAACAGCCACTTCATCTCTGGTGACCCCCTAGATGGTGTCTTGTTTACCACGTCATGTAGGGATAATAAAATGACAAATTGCTGTGCTGATTAATTAACATAACTGAGATAACTGATGTGTCCAGCAAGTTCAAAAGTTCTGCAAACCAGATCAAGAGTTCAGGTTCCAACAGACTTTAAAAACTGTGATGTTTAAATGATGGATCTTTCTATACTTGAAAGAGAGGCTATGTGACACAGAAGGCAAGGAGTTGTGGAGTAAAGCAGAAATAGCTTGAGTAAACGAACCCACAGAGGCAGCTTTGTGGGGTTTTTGTAGTGTGAGGAGACTGGTTCTGGAAGATGCTGGAGGGAGATCTTGTAGATTCCTAATATTGATAAGTTTCTGTGAAATTCCCCAGCTGTGTGGGGAGCAGTCACACACCTTCCACAGACAGGCCAAGCTGGAGGAGAGGAGAGTTTCACCCAGTCATTTGTAGCACATCTTGGATATGTACTGTGAAATAACTAAAATACCAAGAAAATTTCTAGGTCTGTGGTCCTTAACACACAGAAATTTATGAGTTTAGAAAATTGATGCTTTACCTAGGAGGAGAAGGAGAATTTATGCTCTGGGGACTGCAACACGGTTGCAGTGAGGAAAAGTAGAGGAAGGAGGAAAATAGATGAGTGGGTGGGACTTTCCTTGAGATGTGGGTGAGGAAAAGATGTGAAAATCTGGCTGTTTCTGCAGTGCAAAGAAAAAGCTCTGCTCAGGTTTACTGTTTGATTTTCATGTGTGTTAGAAGGGTTTGTAGAAGTGTGTAAAGGCAGCCAGATCTGTATGATTATTGGCATGGAGGGAAATAACAGCCATCTGAAGAGGAAGGCAGAGGAGGGGGAACTAAGGAAGAAGTGACAGCTGAGGTGGTGGCATGGCAGGCGGGAGGAGCACATCACATCCCAGAAGAGGTGACTATCTTAACAGACAGCTGCCTTGGTGAGCTTGGCTCTGTTTTTTCCATTCTCACTCCTTTAGGTAATCTGTGTTCTGAATGAGCAGATACTGATTGTGTAGGCTCTGTGGTGTTTCTGCTGGCATGTGTCCTGGTTTTTGTGGGCTGCGTCAATCCTTGCTGTTAAATTTTAATTTTTTTTATCTCAATCCTGACAGTAAACTGTAATTTAGTGGATAGTGCTGCTGAAGCTGAAATCCCTTATAAGGATTTCAATTTCCTGAATATCTAAAACAACAGTACCAAACCCAAAATCTAGTTTGCTTTGTGGTTCAAGAATTCTGAAAAACTTTCTTTTATTTTGAGGCTTGACTACAAATAGCCCTTTAAATCTGGGCAAAATTGGTTTGAGAATAGCATATAGCATTTTGTTGGGTATGAAGACTTGAAGGGCTACCTGATTATAGAATGGTTTGGCTTGGAAGAGACCTTAAAGATCATTTGATTCCAACTCCCCTGACATGGGCAGGGATTCCTTCCACTAGAGCAGGCTGTTAAAGCCCCATGCAAGTTGGTCATGAACACTTCCAAGGAGGAGGCAGCCACAACTTCTCTGGGCAACCTGATCTGGTTCTTCACTACTCATATTGAAGAATTTCTTCCTTATATCTAATCTAAACCTACCCTCTTTCAGTTTGAAGTCCTTCCCTTTGTCCTATCACTACATACCCTTGTAAGAAATCCCTCTGATCTTCTAGTACAGGGGGCAGTTCTTCATTCTCTCAGTCCCTGCATTTGTCTTCTGTGACTTGGTTGGTATGGCTGGAGCAGTTGCTGGTGAAGACTGAGGGGGAAAAGTTGTTGAGTACCTCAGCCTTCTCATTGTCCTGGGTAACCAGGTCTCCTGTTTCCTTCTGGAGGGGGTACATGTTTTCCCTAGTCTTTCTTTGTCACCAATGTACCTATAGAAAGTTTTCATGGTGCCCTTGATATCCCTGGCAAGGTTTAGTTCTATCAGGGCTTTAGCTCTTCTAACCTGATCCTTGGCTGCTGAGATAGTCTCTCTGTATTCCTTCTAGGCTATCAGTTCTTGCTTCCAGCTCCATGAAACCTATGGAAGCAAGGATGTGTTTTGTTCTGTCTTGAATGTGCTAGTTTTAGGGGGTCATGTAATGAAATGAGATTGTGACAGATAGAGGTTGAGGATGTGATGAAGCTTTGCACCTCATCAGCAGTGGTGCTTTTATATCACCTCTCATGGATTTGATGTCTAGTGATGCTCTTGCATCTTGCACCTCTCATGTGTTTCTGCTTGCTAGATTTATCCACAATGTAGACATCTAACGTTTCTCCTTTTTTTGCTTTTTCAGGAAACCTAGCAAACTGCAGGCTA